TACATCAGAATGATTTATGTGCAGGCAGTCGTATGAAGCCTGAAAAGATTGCTAAGCTGTGTTTGATAGTGTTGGCTGCATTATATGCGTGCTATGCTCTGTATGGTGGATGTATATTAGTGAAATTCGTGTAGTCCACCTATATTTTTATATCATCTATAAGAAGGAAAGGGAAAGTAGTTTTCCATGGTAGTATATTAGGTTCAGTAGATATTATGTTCTTTTTAGTATGGTATTATAGTAATGTTAAAGTTTATGCTTATTCATTAATTCATAAATAAGATCGATGAAGATAATAAAGTAATTATACTGATAAAATAAAATAAAAATAATGAACATTAAAATACATATTTTTAGTTTTGGAAGATAGTAATTTTATGTTATGTTAATGACAAATAGTCTATATATTATTTTTTAATTTGTTAATTACTGAACAAGTATATTAATAAAAGATACCAAACATATTTTACAACTATTCTATTCTATTCTTATTAATATTCGTAGGATGTCTTTTTAATGGTATAAGTTGTTGAATTTTAAGTATCTTCACAACTGATTTATCCCAATTAGCATTAATATACGTGTATACGCAAATTTGGAAATTTTATAAAAAAAATTTGCTGGTTGTGCTTTAATCATTGAACTTTCCCTTTCTTAATTACATTATACTCATATGTAAAGCAGTAAGAAATAGGTGTAACTTTCCTAAATTTACCATTATTTTATTATCTATGGTGGTTAATTTTGTAGGCGTGCTCAGTTGTTCCAATTTGCCATTTATTTCTATTCATTGCTATCTTTTTCTGTCGAGTGTAAAGTTGTCTAATATTGTTTGGAATGCCTCGCTAGTATGATTCTTTTACTGAAGAGTAGGTTTTTTTTGGGATAAGAGCTGGTGCTCCACTCGATAAAAGAGCAAGTTTTAAAGTGTAAAATGCTCAAAATCGAGGTATTCAATTGATACTAGGTAGTCAGAAGTTTTATCATTCTTCTATGGTGATTAAATATGACAAAGTGTTGCAATGTGTATGTATGCAAAGGATGTATGCAGTACTTTGTGGTAGCACAATTTATAAAATAATTCTTGCCTGTAATACTGTGGCAAATGAACAATACATATGGACTATTATATTATTCAGGGTTCTTCAATATATGATTTATTATTATTAATATTATTATTTTATCACTGTCATCATTATTATCATTACCATTATTATCATTCTCATTGTCATAACTCTTTCCACTATTAATACTACTAATACCAGTGTTATTACCATCATTTCCTTTTACACTGTTGCTACCATTAATAGTACACTTATCATTAATATCATTTTTATAAAAATTTTTGTTCTTGTTGGTACCGTTGTCAGCGTCGTTGATTCTGACATAATCACTTCCGCTCGTGTTACCATGATAGTTATTATAAATATCATTGCCATCAGTGATTAAGGTTAGTTTTATTATTGCTACTAGTGATATTACTACTTTAATTATCACTGTTGTTGCTACCCTGTTATTACTACTACTACTACCACCACCACTATCATCACTACTATTATTGCTATTACTACTATTGCTGCTTCTTCTACTATTGCTATTGTTACCTATATTGATACTATTTCTTTATTTATTATTATGATTACCATTATCACTATCATCATTTCTATAGTCTTAATCATCACTATTGTCATATGATTATTATTATCATTGCTATTACCATTATGAGCATCATCATTATTACCACTATTATTACTATTACTATAACTATTATTATTATTATTACTACTATTACTATAATTATAATATTACGTTATATTATATTATATCATATTACAATTATTAATTGTTTATTTTCAAGTTACTGTTAAAGGCATTTCAATTAAAATCTTAATTTTTAATACAAAGTTAAGCTGTAATATTTGGCACATGAATATAATAAAAATCATGGTTCATTATTAATTGATGACTATAGATTCATTGTCAGTGGAAGTAAATAAATGATGTGTATACTGGTTTGTTAAATAAGTGTTGCAATCTTGCAAGACCCGTTCCCTTTAACTATGTAGCGATTTTGAATGGAAATGTATATAATAGTGGCTGTCTTATATTTGTGCATGGTATTTTAAGGTGCACAGTTGTAATTATTTAATATGTATTCAATATATGTCTATTATAATTATGCACGTTCAGGTTTAGTCCTTTATTATTGAAATGCACCGCTGACAGATCTGTAAAGACTGACGATTCAAACATGGTGAATGGAGTGGACGAGGCTGTTTCAAATGCACACACAGCGGAAGATTCTGAACAAGTATCTAGGTGTGAATGTAATTCCTCTACTGCCTCACAAAATTCCCAGTCACAAGCGGGAGTGACTTCTACTTTTCCTGTAGTAAGTACACTTTCTTCTTCAAGTAATAATTTGTATTGTTGTAAAAATTATATTTGCCATTGATTTTAACAAGTCTATACACATATTTTATTCACTTTCTTTAGATATCAATGCAGTATTAATACATTACATTTAGCGTTTTGAAAATTTTGGACAATTTAAAATAAAAAGAAAGCTTAACTAAATCTTTTTTTGTTTTTACTTTAGGATCTTCTGAAGCCGAGCTATGCCCAAGTAGCACAGCACTGTCGTGAACTACCTTGTACAAAGCATAAAACAGATGAAAGGGATGGAAATGTGTAAATCAATATGTAAGTAAATATTATTGATGTTACTTTTTTTTTGGATAAGTAAGCAGAATTGAACTAATGAGTAGAATTAAAAATGTAGTGAACTAAGCAACTTTACAGATACTACCACAATGAATTTCAATATTTAGCTGTTATTCTTCATCTGGATTATATGGATTATGTACCACTGCTTTTATCCTGCACTGGATATAGTGGGTATGAAGAAAACTTTTTACATTGTACAGTGACTTCGCCTACAATGAATGTGGTATCAATTAACTATGAATCATAAAGAATTGTTTGAAGAAACTCTAATTCGCTGCATATTTAAAAAAATATGTTTGCTGGCAGGATAATACATTGTGTAGAAGAGTATTGTTATTGCTTTGGTTCTGTGATTTTGGAGGTACATATTTGTTAGCTTGTAAAAATGTTAAACTAAGGTATTAATCTTTTAATTCCTTTCTCCTCTCCCTTTTCATAGCACAGGGCCGTAACTGGGAAATGTTTATCTTTGTGCCAAAACCTTGCTATGCGCGTACAGCTTAATGAATGTTCAGAATGCAACGAAATTTATTCTCAAACAGAATTCTGATTTATTCAATTGAAAAAGAGAATGTAATTTTTAAAGCAGATAAATGTTAAGAATATTTATTAAAAGGAAAAAAAAAATTAAGTTTTGTTTCTCATAATTTTTTTATATATATATCATTACAAGTATTTATAGGCAAGTTTTGCATAATTTCCAGAATATTAATGACAGTTACACTAAATAACGTAAAACTATAAACAATTAATGTACAAATTAAATATTTGCTATATTGTTTGAATTATAGTTTTTATGAAAGAAAGGAAGAATCAAAATGAGGGAAAAACAAAAAAAGTGCTTTACATACAAGGTATTACTTATGATCTTACTGTTATTGTCTAAAGCGGTGTATACTGGATCTTCTTTAACATTAACAGTAGAAATATAATTATTACAATCTAATGTAGCTATTAAATTTATACTAGTAATATAATTGAAGCATTATTATATTATCGTTTATTGTCACATCGTAATTATAACATTTTATTATTGTTTTATAATTAACAATAATAAAATATTGGTATAGTTATAATTTACAGGAATATTACTTTTCATTTAAACCAAACACGAATAGATATTGGTTTGTTATATTTTCTTTATTACTTAATAATTAATATTTTCTACGATAAAACTTATTATTAACGAATATATTAGACTTATCAAGAATGTTAAAAAATTGAAGAATGTCATTTCACAAGAATGTAATCATTATATTGTAAAACAAAGATATAAATTTGGTATACTTACTATGAAATTATTGATAGTTTTTAAGACATAGTACATACATGATAAAGCGAAAAATATAATACAGGAACATTAAATTAGGATATTTATATATCTCGAAAATATAACATTCCATATTGCCTCAAATACATTCTAGTCTCTGCTAGAAGCTTTAAAAATTTGTATTCCAGGTGAATCAGAAATAATAAAATAAACTACTTGTTATTGATATTCTGGAAATGATACCAAACAGATTTTAGTTTTGCGTTCGTCTCAAGTTGAAAGAAAAAAATGATAATTGTTATGACATATTTAGGCACCTATTTACGGCACTGACTTTTCTTTTTAATATTACTGTTACACAAGATAACATACAATTTAGGATTATGCTTTGGCAAGTAATAATAAGAGTTGTCAGAAAATATGGTCTTTGAGCACACATTTAAGTGCCTCAAAACGTTGTGTATATTACAGGAGCTTGGCTTTAGATGTTATATAATTACATGTACCTATACATTGTAGCAAAAGAACGCATATAATATATTTGTTACTAATATGCGTACAGAAATTGAAATAATGAATATTGAACGAAGAAAAAACCAATCTTCTGAACTACAAAATAATTACCAATACGTATAATTATACTTTACATTTATGATACTGCCTTTTAATTTTTTCTTTTTTATATATCTGAAATGATTAATCGTGATGTTGAATATACAGAAAGAATTTGTTATCAACTGTAAATGCATTAAGATATTAATTATTTCAGTTTAAATCGTGGTGCTGTAAAACATTTTGCTTTAGCCTCAGTCCTGTAGCACAACTTACATTAATTGTATCTCGATGATACATTTCAAATTTGGTGTAATGCCGTTGATTACATCAAGGAATAAGTACGGTATATTTAAGATACATACATAAATATCTTTTTATTAGTAAATTCACTTGTTTGGAAAATAATATTTTAATATTGTTTTTTTATTTTGCACAGTTTTGCTATTTGATTTTCGTTTCCTTTTTTTTTTTTAATTTTTTTTTTATTTTGAATTAAGAAGATTATTTTAAAGAGAAATACTACTAATGAAATCTTCAATAAGTTTAACGTAGTAGCGTGTTGCAAAAATGAAATGAATTTTAAGACCAGAAATTTTCTGTTATTTTTCTTTTAAATTCACATTTTTTGATATCTCATTAAACGTGACAATAATGTAACAGTATTTAATTTCAATTACATCAATAATAAAATTCGTGGTTGGTATTTGTATAAAAAAAAGAAAAATCGCTTCTAAAATGATAAGTCATGTGTATAGCATTTTTCGCCCAACTGTATGTTGGATCTTTTTTAATTCTATGTATATTTTTAATATCATTGAATAATCAAATGAGAAACGTTTCAACGTAATTTTTCTGTTTGGTTCATTCGTATTTGTATACTAACGTGAATTTACTGATAAAAATATTTATATAAATACGAAAAATACACGCATATATATATACATAAAAATTGGATAAGCATTAACATTTCTTGATAATGGAATTTTAGAGAACGTAAACGATGTTAAAGTGATTTGTCTTACTTTATGCGTTACCCTATAAATTATGTATAGCTAATTATGTGTATGCTTTGAATATTCGTTTTAATTATTGCTACGGATTATATGTAAAAAAAATTGAAAGTTGATTCCTCTCTATACATTGTCTTTACTAAATGTATGGAACTTAATGTAAGAAACGCTAAACTGTTGGTATATTATTATACCTGTACAATACAAAGTGAGAAGATACGCCAATACCTTGGATCGCAATGATCATGCACGTATTGTTGAGGATGATAATTGACAGCGATTAATAAAAAGAACTATCTAAAAATATTTAGTTTGTAATGCTGAGGTAAACTAAATAGAACTTTCTTAAGGCTTTAAATAGAAAGAACGTTGAGATAGTAAAAGTTTTTGTGCTGGCAAATTTTATTAAATTAGAGTATATGATTATTTGATGGTGAAACGATTCCAAATGGTCCAGGGTAAGGGTAGTATTACTGGGATAAAATTGTGATTGGAATGTGTGGAAAAAGGTATATTAGAAGTTTGTTCTTTTTTTAATAATCTCGTCACAAAAATCGTGGCTGATAAACTTACGTTAATTCATGCATCAGAATAAACTGTGATTAGATTAAAGTCCAACAGAAATACAATGTATAATGTAACTCCGTTTCATAGGCTGCAGGCCTAGAAAGTCTGATTTTTTAACTACTACGAAAAAATACTTGTGTATTATATGATCTATGACGTTTGTTTATTACTATGTAAAGTGACAAATTTCAAAATTAAACATTAATTACTGTTATTGGTTTTGCTTTTACTTTAACAACTTTAAATCTCATATTATTTATCTGATTAATTTTTGAAGAATTACACTTTTCCGTTCGTTAGAGATTGACGTAGACGCAATTTAGATAAAATATGGCCTAGTGTTGCAAATTAGAAGAAACTAATTTCAATAAATATGGCGAAAATTGATATATTTAAATAGATGTGAAGAAAGAACCATTTCTGTATGTAATTTTATTCAGGGCATAAAGAAACTGCCAATATCTTTAAAATAAGAGACTGACAGTATCTTTGTACATGAGGCAGGAAAGTTTAATTAAAATCGTGAAACCGACTAAATACTGTTCTACAAAACAAAAGAGAGAAAAATTGTTTGTGCATATAAGATTGAGTATGAAGGCTTTGTACATTACAAGGAATCAAATCAAATTATACACATTTCATATTATCTATTGATTATAATTCAGGTACATCAAACATTACCTCACTAATAGTGTTACATTGAAATCAAGTGAATAGTAAATTACATACTTTCTGATTGCAAGTTTTGTAAACATCTTATTTGGTGCATATCTCATTATGAGACGGTTGCAAAGAAAAAAATGAGTTTTACTCATTGTTAATACTAGTTAGAAAGTAAACTTTAAAAATTAACATTATTTTGTAAAATACGATATCCCTAACAAATAATAATGTATAATTATACTGCATAGTTCGAAACTTTATCGTCTTCCCTTATTATCTTACGTTATAATATTTCATACATTGCTTTTAGAACTTAACAATATGTATAGCGAAGTCTCACTATATGACCCTGAAGGGCTGTTAGTACATTTGCTTAACAAGCCATATAAATGAGAGTTATATAACGAGACTACGCTGTAATAAGTTTTTTGTTTCTATAATTTAAAAGATTATGTTTCTAGAAAAAGGCAAAATATGATTATTCAAAACAATACACTTTTGTTTATTTTGTCTAAAGGTATAATTTCTGTCATATGAAAGATACTATTACATGTTGCGTAATATTCAATCATTTGTCAATTTTATTTTAACTGAATAAAAGTCTGTAGCAAAGAGACAAAATTTATATAATTCTAATGTAACTTCATTAACAAAAATAAATAAATATTCTATTCCGTATTTTGTTGAAAGTGGAAAGATTTATTTTGATTCAGAAGCTCTATGTTTGTAGGAACCACCAGGCGTACAATAAAATAAATTATTTGTAAATATTAAACTCATGATTATTAAATGAAAATATAATCTTTAGTATTGAGTTGTACTTTAAACGATTATGTATTTAAGATATATGAAATATTTTAAGCTAAACATATATATTGTATTGAATATATTTACATTTTTCACAAGGATGAACATTTTTCTGTTTAAGCGTTGAAATTTTGTTGAAAAGTTTCTGCATTATTTTATCGCACAAGTGTAGTATTAATGACTTAATTGTTAGTAACTTTTTTAACGGTTTCATGTAAAACACAAAATGTACAGAAATAACAAAATAATGCTACTGAAATATTTGTAACTACTACACCGACCATTTTTGCAGACAAGTATCGAATAAACTATAATTAAATGCATCGTTATTATCATGATGTTAAAAAGGACGACAAAGATTTTGTTATACACATATATATATATTTATCAATTAATTTGGTGTTTTAACATTCCTAACTAAATTCTTATTGTTATTATTCTGCGTTCTACGAACATAACGTATGTTATGAACGTTATGTTATGTACATTTAATAGAAAACTACAATTTGTAAATAAGATTTGTTTATTATAGTGGGCACTGGACTACAATGTCTATGATAACTACATTAACAAATTTTCAAAAACTATATATGGAAATTTCATGCTAATTGTAACTGCGCATTACAAATATTTAATTATTCTTTTATAATATTATTATGAGAAAACCATGTACAAGAGTTTTACACTTATTATTATAGACTGTAACATGTGCATTTACACGTGAATTTCTATTTTGAAACTTATCATATCAAATTTAATTGTTTCAACATAAATCTTATCATGACAGATGAATTATTGTGTTCAACTTAAAGGGATTAACTAATGAAAAGAAATTATGTTACCATATAATTAAATGGAACGTTCTCATTAAAATTGTTAAAATAAACTCTTATAAATGTCAAATTATAAAAATACAAGCGATTATCTCTTGAACATGTTACTTCCTGGAATATATCTACTATTCTTCGTCAACCTTCATGTAATAAGTGTCTAATGTTAAAGGTTCTGCTTACGGCTAGTTAAGTACAGTGATTAATTTAGTTCAAAGCTATCTGTTATGAGAATTGCGTAATCGTATATACTCTGTACAATTTCAAATAACGAGTATGCGTATGCAATATTCTTAACTGATATACATACTACATGAGACAAGAGAAGTTTATCTATCAGGCACAGGAACTGAGTTGCAAAAATGTTCGTATCAAATGTGACACGAGTTACCAGCAAGATAATTACATATGCACTGTACATTTCGTCGTTTTAAAATGAATTTGTATATTTGGGTCCAAGAAAAAACCATTTACAACGTTGCTATCGTTCTTTGAAAGAAAATGCAAACAATATATCTTAATTTTTATTATAAATATTGCTCATGGTATGTTTAACTAAATTAACAAATAATATTTATGTTCAAATATTAATTTTGTAAATGGTCTACTTTTGTTTGATATGTTACAGATTCAAAGTATTGAAATTGTTTAGATTTGATGTGGACATCTGAAACAATCAATATATACTGTTAATGTTTCAGGGCTCTATTTATTGACAATACTGAAATATTGACAATAATTGATCGATCCATGAGATATTGAAAATATATATTGATCGTCTAAAATCTCCATTAAGATATAAATGCGATGAATTTTTTTCATTTTATTTTAATATGAACTGATTAGTTTGTATCGAGTAATTACACTTATAGTGTTATGATTCGAAATACTATGGATTCGTTTCAAATGATGAAGGAATGAGAAGTATTCTTATCGGTTACGTCAGTGATGGACAATTGCCCACAAGGGCTCGGACACCGATGAGTACATTAAACTCCCATTACATTGCTATGAAAATTTGAATATTGAAAAGTAAATCTGAAAATTTGTGAGTTTCATTTGGAATTTCTTCCCCTCATAGTTTGTGTGTCTGTGAACTCTTTGATGGGCACTTGATCTATCCATCACTGGGTTATATTTAATTGCTCCTGTAAACTTATGTGTTCTATATTATCATTTACATTGCGGACGATCTCGTTGTATGTTCAGTGCCTTTTAACATATATTCATATGTAATGTAAAAATCAATTGATGCTTTTGTATTTATCGATATCTTCCAATTTCCGGGTGAAAGAGTTTGCATGATTCAAAATAATCTGTCGGAAAGCTCCTATATTCCCTGCCGATTGAAACAGAGAATGTTAAAGAAAAATATGAAACTTGATTGAACGTTGGCTTGTTGCATGTAAGACATAGATATATGGAACAAGTCAAATTTAAATTAAGCGTGCGTACATATATGTATATATAGGGCATATATAAACATATATGTACGCATTATACACATATATAATTTAGCATTAGTGTGCTTGATTTGAAGTGCATAATTTTTAAAGGTACATGCATATTTTTATAAATTTCGGTATTGATACAATGGTTTGCTATATACATATATAAATATATACATATGAAAAATGTATAGTATGAACGTACGTAATTTACGATAAAAATGATACATACACATAGTTATATTCTATAAATGAAGAATATGAAAAAAGGTAAAAAGACAGAAAGCTATATGTATTAGCTATACATATTAAACTGTGACGCAGCATATAAAATTCAACTACACGCATACCTTTGTGTTTGATGTGTGAACATTTTCAATGTATCTGTAATCATATATATTTGTACATAATACACAGATTCATTTGTTGCGTCCATTATGTGGTTAGAGACTAATTTGTACATACTATAAATACACGATGAATGAATAAATAAATAAATAAACAAATAAACAAATAAATAAATGTATCTAACTTTAAAAGAATTAACATCTATATTTTTTTGTCATTTAATGTTAATTACGAATGATAATTCAACAATATAATTAATTATAAGATTATTAACTTTCGTTTGCAAATATATTTTTGTATAATTTATATTATTATAATAACATGTATCCAACAATTACTTTTGCATTTTTTTACGTTACTTGATTTGATTAAAATAAATAGAAACGAATATAGAACAATTAAAATACAAAGTAAGGTTAGGAATGGTAAGGTTAGATTAAATTATAGTTAGATCATGTTGAGATTAGGTTAGATTACGGTTAAATTATGCCGTGATTAGATTAGCCGGGTTGGGTTAGGTCGTGATAAGACGAACTATTTCATACAGCAAATACATATAATATAAATAAAATAGATGTAATGTTTTAAATACTATGAACATTAAAATATTATAAAATTTAGATAAAATGTATAAATTGAATCAAAATTTAAAAATAAAATTTCCTTGAACTTTGTGTTGAATTTTTACTTTCATGTTGTATAATTAATTTTTGTTGTACAAAACACACTACAATTAATAATTAAATAATTATATATAAATATTAATATATCACGAAGATGACGCAAAATTGAATTATATTAAATTGTACCGAGCCGACCAATAGCTGTCGTGATTCAAGCAATGTTAATTTTAAAAGTGAAGTTTTATATTAATCATTTTTCATGTTACTAATTACGTGAACATTTATTATTTCATATTTAGATAGTAATCAAGAAAAATTCTCATAAGTTGTATACTTTATGATTCAATGATTGAAAGGTATGTAAACATAACCTATAATAAAAATATATCTGATTGACAGCATTACAATTATACGCATATAGTTAAAGAAAAATAACAGGTAAATGTTAATAGTATACGTGTTAAAAAAATACTATATAATCATTATATTTCAGGAGCAAGATTGATTAAGGAAAGTAGAATAAAATTTTAAAAATAAGTTCTACACTTATCTTATTTTTTGTAAAAATGCTTCACATTTATTGACTATTTCGTGCTTAATGAGTAGATCTCAAAATGAAATATTCTACATCACCTCCAATAAGTAGGTGTAATTCTCCTAGTCCAGTTGAATCTGGTTCAAGTTTACCAATGCCAGTAACTTACAGGTAAATTAATTGTGTTCCTAAGCATAAAATTTTCATAACTATTCTGAATACAAAAATGTATATTTTAGGCAGGATTGTATGGGTGCAGCAACAAAATGTTACAAATACCTGAGGAAGTTACTGAAATTCGAACAAATGGATTTCGAATTTGCTTTATGGCAAATGATCTTTTTATTTATATCACCACAGAAAGTCTATAGAAATTTTCAAAGCAGGAAACGTATGTTACTTTACTCATTGTCTGATATTTCTATCATATGTTAATACTATGAAAAGTATAATTTCATTTCAGAAACAAAGTCACAATTTGCAAGGGATGATCCTGCATTTTTGGTACTACTAATGTGTTGTCTGTGCATATCTTCGATTGGTTTTACTATAGTTTTGGGATTAGGATTTTTTCAATTTATTAAATTGTTATTTTATATGATATTCATTGATTATCTTACTGCTGGCTTGATAGTAGCTACAATATTCTGGTAAAAATTTACATTATTCACATGATACTTGCAATATCAATACATGCAATAAGTCATTATTAATCTAAAAGAATTGAATATTTTTTCTATTAATTTCAGGTTTATAACAAATCGTTATTTAAGAATTGATAAGACTCAAGATGTAGAATGGGGATATGCATTTGACATTCATTTGAATGCATTTTTCCCACCATTAATCATACTTCATATTGTACAACTCTTTTTATATAATGGTAAAATGTTAATCTCAAATATTTAATATCTATATCTAATGTATTTAGATCCTGTTATCTTACAAATATTTTACAGGTCTTATAAATTATGATACATTTTCATCAAAATTTCTTGGAAATACAATTTGGTTAATAGCTGTTGGATATTATATTTATATTACATTTCTGGGCTATACAAGTAAGTGTATGAATTTAGTATTGTAAATCGATAAAATTATATTCATGATTTAAATTTTATGTAGGTATGGAAATACTTCATAAGACGCACATAATACTATCAACATTACCGATAATGTTATTGATGTATATCGTGACATTATGTGCAGGTATTAATATTAGTCACTTAGTTATGGAATTCTACCATTACCGAGTTGTCTAGATTATAAATTCTAAATATGGTTTGTTATTAAAATATAAAAAATAATTTTAAATTAATTAATTGTTTTTGTATTAGATTTTGATACACGTTTTTATGCATCCAAAATTTTCAAATAGATAAAAATGTTTCATATTATTAACAATAATTATTGCATTCAGTAACAATAACGCATTTTCTAAAAAAAGAATCAATTGTTTAAATGAAATAAGAAAAATATTGTGTATTTCTAATAACCAATTTGATTATCGAGAATTTTATGAGAGTAGAATTGTTGAGCCTCCAATTTTGTAATAATACAAAAAATTTGTTGTATCGTATTAAATAGAAATAATATTGTATCATTTTTTACCTTTTATGAGACTTTTGAATAAAAAAGCATAACGTGTATTATCATATTACATCAACATTGTATATAATACTTTTACACTGTCATAATAATTATTGGAACACTTGATTTCAAAATTAACTTTTATTTAATTTATATAAAATAAATAATGTACAATATAATGTATATATATATATATCTTACTGAACATCGATTTATTCTTAATTCTAACGAATGTTTGTAGTCAGTAGTAAAAATAATTAAAATGTATTAAAATAGTTCGAATATTTATGTTTCATATTTAGACCATCAACATTTATAAAAGTTTAGGTTGTTGTTTTAAAGTTGAAATATCTAGAATTTTACTGGGACAAGACGTTTTAGGCGTTTGATTGAAAGGAAACCGTTGTAATACTTTAGGACTATTTTTTGGATTTGTATGTTTTATATCAATTTTTGATGGTGTTTCAACTGCTACTTTATTAATATCTGGGAAGAAAAGATGACTTATTATTTTATCTATTTATTTAGAAAGTATGTTATGCGTATTTATTAAAAATTTTTACCTTCTGTTTGAATACCGTTCTTGCCTGGAAGTAACTGATATCTTTCTAAGTAGCGCATTGTAGCAAAAGACATATTTGTGCCTTGCACATTGCTAACCATAAGATGCTTCAGAGACGTTGAGCCTTGCTTTTGTACTGCCAATTCAGCAAGTTGTTCATCAGTTAGATATTTTAAAGCCAATGCTTTCATATGCATACTTGTATTTGTTTCATTTACACCACTTGTAGCTTGTGTCATATTTGCTTGATAATCCAAACGTGGATAGAACGATAAATCGAACGCCATCCTTTTAAACAAATTATTAGATTACTTTATAATGTATAATTTCAGCTCGATTATCTAAAATAATGTTAATCAAAATTTATCTTGAACTTTTTGAGTTAACAGAATTTAGATAATCGAAATTACTTTCATGTGTACATGCGAATATATAATTCATGTGTATGAAACATACTTGTTACTGCTATTCAATTCTTTACTTTCTGGATTTTCATTTAAACTAATCCCAAGTTTTTTAAGTTGTTCCAATGTAGCATGTTTAACAGTACCTAGTACTGCTTTATTTTCAGTCTCGTACCGTTCGTTTTGATTTATTTTTGTTTGATTCTGTTGCTGATCATCTATAACACAAGAATTTTGTAACAACTGATTTACCTGACCCAGAACATTATTATAAAACGTCCAGCCCACTTTTGAACTACGTTTAACTTTTTCACTATCATCATCACTGGAATATTCGTTCATATCTACATGTATGCTAGGTTCTGGAGTAGGAGGTGGTCTTTCATTTATTTTTAAATCACCACCATTTAAAATCAAACTATCCTCAATACAATTGACACCTTTAGCAACAGAAGTGTGTCTCCCCTTTTGATAATCTTTATAACAATCAGAGCTATTTACAGAATTACTTGCTTTTCCATTAGAATCACTATCTTTTTTCATTTTTAACTTTTTATAATAATCTGCATTAGTAGGAGAACTTATTTTATCATTTTTATTTTCTAAAACATTATATTCTGTATTTACAGTATTTCTTTGTACTGCTGGTACCTTTACAATATCATAATTTCTCACTTCTTCTGTACAAATTCTTCCTAAATCTTTTTGTATTCTATCTCGAGTCTGATTTAAATTTGTAGTCGTATTTTTGCCTAATTTAGGCGAATTAGATCTAAGAATATCTGTTTCTTTTTGTATATCTATATAAGCTTGTCTCTCCACATCTTTTGTAGATGTGCTTGCATTTAAATTACTGCTTTGTTGTTGACTAGATGACATGTAGCTTTCTGAATCTTCAACTATATTTTCTAATTGTGCACTGGGCATTCGAGTAAACGAACTCTTATATCTTCTTAAAGGTTCATTATTGTCACAAATACCGACGTTATTACATAGTTTCAAATTTTCTTTCTTTTGTTGACCATCTTGTTTTTCACAATCATCAACATCTAGTGTAAATGGACTATTTTGTACAGTAAACTCAAAACTTGTCATTACACCTATAGAAACTTTCTGCTCCATAAATGTTTTTTTTGCTTGTGCTTCTGCCAATATCAATTCATTTTGATTTATGTTTTCATTTTCATTATAATTTTCTTTCCTTTTATCTTTGGAGACTTCATTTTGACATATATTTCTCTTTGTGCTTTTTGGTGCTGCAATATGATTAGGACTATTCAAGGCATCATTAGAATTTGTATAAAATTGACTATTGTGTTGTTGCATTGGATAAGAGCATGAACACTTTTTTCTTTCTTTTAAATTCTCCTCCTGCATTTTCAATAATCTATCCACTTGTACTTGTAATGATTTGATTTGTTCATTTTGACTATTTATAATTTGCAATAAGTTCTTCACTGTTTCTTGATTTTCTGTATTATGAACAGAATAAGGATGAAATTGAGGAAAGGGATAAGCATTCATATTAAAATAAGGATATTGCTGTCCTACATAGTGTGGTAATTGATATTCACTCTTTTTCAAGCTTTTAGGATTGATATGTGAGTTTTGTATATCCGGTTCATTAACTGAGTTATTGAATGATACATTTTGTTGTTTAGAGTCATTAGTTATTAATTGATTTTCACATAATGGGAAGTGTGCCCTCTTATTAACAGCATAATTATCAGCATCTATGTAAGTTCTAACAGTATGTGATGTGGGAGACATACAGTCACGCTGTTCTATTGAATTGTTATACTGAGCTGTTTTATCAATAGGTGTTATATTATTTTCACATACATGATAGCTATGTCCATAAGAGTTACTATCACTTCTTCTATGAGATTTCTTTTCTTCAAGATTTGTAGAATTAGAAATATCTTTTATTGAACAATGATCATTTCTCATAGATTCTTTTGGACTCTCTGTGGTGGTATCTTTCATTAAATAAGGTTGTGTAACATAATTCTGACTGGATTGTATGTTTTGAGGAACTGTATTACCAATATTGTTAGAAGGTCTAGACACATAATTATGTTGTTTCCATGCTGCATATGATCCATTTGCACTTGAAGAATATGAAGTATTACTCTTTTGTGTTGAAGTGTTACGATCAACAGGTGGTGACTGAAAGCCTGTACGTTCTATAGTTTTATAGCCTAAAGGTTTATCAAATATTAAAGAAACTTCTGGGACCGATGGTACTGCAAAACACTATTAATAAAAAAATATTAATTTTGATAAAGACTGTTAAAACATTACATATTTAATTCATACTCAGCTGTTAAATTATTTATATTAAAAAAAAAGAAAAAACTTACATCAAGCTTAGATGTAGGTTTTGGTGTAATTCTTGGTTCAAATTCATCTTCATCGTTAGAAATTTGATACATACTTTATACAAAATAAATTAATAATTTAAACTATATTAATTTGTTCTTGTTTTTCTTACATGTATGTATTCATATATATAAGTCTTCAATTTTTTTAGCAGAAATTTTGTAAAATATCTTTTCACTATCTATTTTCTAACATTTATCATTTGTTTGTAACAACTTTTAATTATCATACTTTCATTTTACTCTAAACTGATTTCAAACAAATTGGTTGACAAACGATTCGAAATAAAAGCATAGGCAACTTAATAAATTCTAGTGAATAAAGGATACATTATTTGAATTTTTTTTTCAAATTATGTATCATCGTTCATGTTAGTTTTTAAAAACAAAATAACAAAAATTGATTGCATTTGAAAAATATATTAGTAATACAAATTCGTATGTATTTGAAATTTTTATTTATATAGTTCGTTCCATGGTAGATCGTATTCAATTCACGCAACTCAACTAACTTCAAAAAGTTCCCCTCTACTTGTGCTGTTTCAGTATCATACGCTTTCTACTATATTGCTTATATATATGGTAGACAAAATATGCGAATAAGATATCTGTCGTAAGGAATACGGGGATCAACAGGGGCAGAAATTTCTTAATTTTTATTTAAAAGTCTTAATTAATAAGTCATTATTTATTATACATAATTGGTGGTACAGAAGATTATAATTAAGCTACATCACTTTTATATTTTTAAGTTCATTACAAGAAATAATGATGAAAGAAATAAAAAACCACTAGGTATATGTTCAGCGTCATGAAAATCGCAAATACGCATGCACGTTACTCTTAGTTACAAAGTGTATTCAAACCAATCAGCTTTGACCTGCGCAGAATGAACAAAAACTCGTTGTCATCCATCATCATCTTTCATGGAACGAATAATTTAAATGTGCAGATTCCATTACCATTTCATGTACATTTGAATTATATTTTATTATGTAGTTGTATTACATTTTATACGTATACGTCACACCTATCTACGCTTCACAGATACACGTTACATCTGTACTTAATACATACATTTAGAATACTTTTGCCTTACTTTTGAATGATGATTGAAAACATGTATACTAATAATCTTGTATAATTAATCTTGAATCCTAAATTTATATTATGACATCAGTTATCATGTACAGTTAAAATGCAAATGATAATTAAATGTTACAAGCACTGTTGATTTTAATAAGGAAACTATTTTCTTTCAACGCTCCCTCTCGTGTCTGTTTTACCAGGTGAAGATTAATTGGATATGTGTGTTTCCGTATATATAGAATATTATACAGTGCACCACATTGGCAAATGACTGAAATTTTACCAGGAAATATTCGGCGAGATCCAACCAAAAGTTTCGGATAAACTAACGCATATTATTATTATTCCTCATTAAAAAAACGAACAAGTTCGAGAATACTTAACGGATACTCTACAAATACATGTCAAGATCATTAGTGTGGCATGGTATTTTAAATCTATGTCAGAGTTGTTTGACCTGCGATATCTTAGAATTTAGATATCGTTGATTCTCAAATTTGTATCAGGTATATGCACTGAAGTTAAGCAGAATTTTATTTGTCACAGGTAATTATCATATCGTTCAATGTCGAATTACACAACGATATTCAGTTGCATAGTGAACTAATATACAGACATATGTCTTGCATGTGATACGTATCGTGGGTATTTTAACCAATTGCGAAAAGTAAAAAGATCAATTTTTAAATTTGCAATACGAGAAAATAAAAATTCGTAAATATTTATGTACATTAGCGATAGGAAGTTTCGTTTAATAGATAAGTTGTGAATTGTTCTTTTAAATTATTAAAGATATGTCAAAATGTATACAAAGATATTTTATTATTATTTATTATTCATTGAAAAGAGAGGTTTAGATGAGTGCATTAATGATTTTATTGTTTAATGCCAAGCTTTTATATTTAAATGAATATATATATTGTGACTAACATTTATGAGATTTTGATAATTATCAGACTGTGATATATATCAACTCACATTAATATTCTTGTCAAGTAATGCAGTATCTGCTATAGTTCAAGTTTTTACAAAGTACAATGTTCAGATTAATATATTATAAATAGTGAACTGCTTAATATTATTATAAACAAACATATAACGCAATGATGTCTCACGTACTAAGGTGTCAAAATATTAATACAAGTTATTGTATTAAAATAACATATTCTTTCAAGGAAACCACAATGATTAATTTTCATTAATTTGGTTATTTTAAACAAAAAAGAGGAAAGGCCTAACGATGTTTGTAATAAATCTGATATTAACAAGAAACAATTTATGTTTAAAGAAAGCCTAGCCATTTGTAACATAAAAGGTTTGTATGCAAAATAATGTAATATAAATAAACAAAATAATCTTATGTTTAAACTAAACTAAAAAAATAAATTAACTGATTTAAATTCTTTGTATTTAGTTATACATTTTTAATGGATTTAAAATCTAGTTTCTTCTCTGTTATGGTGGCTGCTCAATATTTTATTCATTGGAATTTACTCGATATCAAAACAAGTGCCTTTTGTCCATGAAAGTATTGCGGTTAAAATACTTGTAAAGACGGACAAGTCTCAAAGGATGGCAGTAACTCATTTTTGTTCTTGTATCCTTATTTGATGGTTATAACAATGGTAAGTCAGATTATCATAAATAAAACAGTTGCAACATTTTAATCTCTGTATGTCTAATCTGTTATCTATGAAATTGTTACATAGTAGTTCAATGAAAAAGATTACAATTTATCAATATCAATAAACTTTAATGCTTTTAATTCTTATATTTAGGATCTGTCATAACATTATTCTTCAGAAATTATAAATAATAAAGATATATGTTTTGAGAGCAAAAAATAAAGCAAGAAGATGGATAGCTCAGAGTATGAAACTGTACGAAATATGACACTTTTATTTTTTTTTGAACTTCTTGTGGATAAAGGTGGTCCACGAACATTGCATGATTTAAGTTGTCAATTTGGAGCAAAAGGTTTTACAAAAGAAATGCGCCAAATAGCTGGTGGATCACAAAGTGGCCTTAAGAAATTTTTGGCCCAGTATCCAATGCTTTTTCTTATTAACGGTGATTATGTATCTGTAAATACCTTTCAACAAGTTGCAGAAGAAGAAAATGGATGTAAATTAGCTGGAAAACGCGATTATGCTCGAGAGGCTGTAGAATATTTTACTAATAAGTTAATGCAATATGGAGTGGGTACAGAGGTTCCAATAAAAAGTCTTCTGGGACATAGATCTCAGGCATCTCCAGAAGTTAGACATATTTCTGGTCAACACTACAAAGAGTTTAGAGATTTTCTTTTAAAATATCCTGATGCTTTTGTAGTTACTGAAGATAATGTGTTATTGAAGCAATATGAAGGAATGAAAGCAGAACCCTTTGTAGAATTAGAACCTGATATACCCATAGATCCAGAAATTACTGCAAAATTATTAGATTTTCTATCTGAATGTATTGAGCAAAAAGGTCCAATCCTTGTAGATCAAATGTTCAATATAGTTAATGATAAATTTTCTTTTGAAAATTGGACCTCGATATTTAAAACACCACAGGATTTGTGTACATTTGTAAAAATGTTTCCAGACACATTTCATGTTCAGAGTAACTTAGTAACGTTAATTGGAAAACCAAAATCGTCCGCGATAGAAGGTAAACCAAAACCGAAATTTACAACTTCTACGCGGAATCAAAATATTACGACGAATCAAGTGATTTCAAATCAAGTTGCTCAGTCAAATAATACTCAAGCAACCCAACAATCTAATAGTTTAGAGTCTACTCACACCAATGCTACAAATCAGATTAATTCTGTACAAAATTCTCATTCTCCGATAATTGAAACTAATAATAGTTCACCTCCAGTAAGTTTGCAACAGCAAACTTTGAAGCAAAGAATAAATACACTTGTAATGAAAACTTTGGCTGATAATACGGAAAAAGATCGTACTTTGCAAACTGCGCAAATGGGAGATGCGTGGAAATTAAAAGTATTACAACAAACACGAGTAATAGTAAATCCAAGAGAAAGTCTTCAAATTATTGAAGATATAATAAATCCTCGCAAACCTCCCCCTGATGGAAAAATTGTTATCGCGTTTGATTGCGAAGGTATAAATTTAGGAGTTAAAGGACAGTTGACGCTTGTACAAATTGGAACCATGTCTGGACAAGCATATGTGTTTGATTTGTTTACATGTCCAAATCTTGTACAAGCTGGAGGCCTTCAAAAACTTTTAGAACATAATGATGTTATTAAAGTAAGGAATAATATTGAACATTTTTAATATTCATATTTGTTTATATTCGGTTATTTATATATTAATACTTATATTTTAAGTATGTGTATTATTCCAGGTGATTCACGACTGTAGAAATGACAGCGTCAATTTGTATAGACAGTTCAAAATTATGTTAAATAATGTGTTTGATACACAGGTATTTGATCTCCAATTATTAAATATTTTTCAAACATAGTATAGATTATAACATAATAAAAATATATCGTACTTGAAAGACAAATTATATTTGTGTTAACAGGCAGCTCATGCTGTGCTGCAGTTTCAAGAAACTGGAAAACCTGTATATAAAGTTAAGAATGTTAATTTGAATACATTATGTGATCATTATGGTGCTCCGTATAATCCATTAAAAGAACAATTGAAAAATATCTATCGTAACAATCAGAGGTACTGGTGCAGACGTCCACTGACACGAGACATGCTCATTTATGCTAGTAGCGATGTCCTAAGTCTGGTACCACAAATATATAACTCCATGTCTAAGTATGGTTTAATTTTTATTTATCGATTATTTACTTAACTATTTTGTTGTGCATTTTTAATCGATATACGTCTGGTTATTTATTTTGTACAGTTTCTTTATTATATAAAGCTTATAGTCGATTTAAAATCAATCAGAAAATCTATCAATCTATAAAAAATTGTATTCAGGCCATTTTTTGTTAATTGCAATTCTTTTGCTTTCAATATTGTTAGACTTATAAAACCAGAAGTACAAGCTCTTTTTAATGAGCTCTGTGAAGAACAAATTCAAATGCACATTAAACCTACAGAAGTAAGAGCGCGTAAGAAGCAGCGAAAGGTGGAAACAGAAGTTGCAGATTTGAAAAAGAGAATGGAAGAAGCGACTACCAAAAATATTGTATTAAGTAATCGTGAAATACGCCTTCTGCGTTATTTAGAGCTTACTGAGGATGAAAAAGAAAAACTGAAAGGCAGTTATAAAGTTGCAAGGAAATTGGAAAAGCTTGAGAATATGGGCCAAGATAAAGGGGATAGTAGTGATGATGATGATGAAGATAAAAATGAAGATTCAGAGTATCACAGCATGGAAAGTTATACCTCAGAAAATTCACATTCTGGTACGTTTTTTATATGACCAATTCATTGATATAAGCCCAAAAGCCTGTTTATTTAAATAGAATAGTTAATCTAAATATTTATGTTCATAGGTGGTATATTATCACCAAGGAACACTGAAACTCCTAGCCTGACTGAATCAATGCAAATGGTAGATGAAATTCTTTCTGATGGACGAATGGACAGATTTGAAAAAATCGAAAAATTGGAAGCTATTCTTTCAGCTGTTACTGGTTCTACGACTGATCAATTGTCTTCAAGTAGTACAGATGCATCTCCAATAAAGTGTGTATGTTCGTGTCAAGACAAAAGTAAGAGTCCACGAACGGATCGTAATAGCGTGGCTTGCCAAACATATAGTACAGGTGATATAGTAATTACGAAGATATTTCTTACGGAGGAAGAAAAAGAACGTATAGATTTATTGAATTCGCCAAAAAAGTAGACGTTATAGTTATTACAAGAGTGGTAGGAACGATGTTGCCATTATTAGACTTTTACAGAAAAAAAGACGAGCGGGTGACGACAAATAAATAAAAGTAGCTAAAAATTGATCTATTTTACGTAGTTTGACAAAATTGTAATATCCAATTACTTAAATTGACTATGATTTAATTCTTCACACATTTATTTTTCCAAATCTGATGCTATAGTAATCAGAATTTAGGAAAAATTTGTTTTATTTAAAAAAATTGCAGTATTGTAAAATATTTACTTTTTAGTAGCAGATTATCTTTCTTTTTAAAATTATAAGAAAGAATAATCGAATTACATATTAATATATATAAGTATAAAACATCTGTTTACTAGCAGAAATATTTGACGCAATACGTTTTTCTGAGTAATTTACGTTATTATTCAAGATTAAAACATTAATGTTGTTCCTCTAGAAAACAGTATATAAATACAAAAATATTTTAATGCTGCTTTTAAAATAAAATTTTATTCTTTTTTTAACGAAGCTTATAAAAGTAAAGGATATACATGCAAAACAGTTTCATTATTTACCCAAAGTGCTGCATTAAAATCACTGTTTCGTAATAAATTGTTTTATGTATTTATAAAAGAACGTGTTTTCAGTTTTATTGACAAATATTTTTGATAATCACTTTTAATAAAAGTTCATTAAAATGTATAAAATTACACCGTTAGTGAAATAAGTACAAATATGTATAATGAAATTTTACACGTTTGATATCACTAATTTTTTTACAGTTATATTTGTGCCAAGTCCTAACATTATACATCATTTATAATTAATAAAGTAGAAAAGGGAGTTTTTGTATATTTTTTTTTCTAGCAATGAAATAAATGAACTGTTTAGTATTACAAGGACTCAATTTTAAAAATGGGATACATATATTTGTGTATTAAAACTATGTTTTAAAATCTTATTTGCAAAATGTAAATTATCATAAAAAGGGATGGTCAGATGAATGTGATAATATTAAAATACAGCTGCTTTTAATGCAATACTTTCCAAAAGTATGGTATAATTTGTCTATTTAATTTATGTTTGTATATTAGTACACCTTTTTAATTTCAAATATTAAATATTGATTATAACTTTGAGATCTTATTCAAAATAAGATTTACAAAATACAAAATATAAAAATTGTTATTTATGAACATATTTGTTAAAAAAAAGTAATGGAATGTGTATCAGTGAAATTTTTACTTTTGAAATATTTAGATAATAATTATTTTAACAATACTTTTACAATGTAATAATTACCTTTCAATAAATAGAAAATTACATGAATTTGATTACAGACTTAATACACTTTTAAGTGTATTATTATTGTGAAATGATTTTAAATAATGCAATTTTTCATTTGTATTTTGCAATATGTTCGTTTTTTGTTAATATAATATTATTATTATTACATATATTGATATAACATGTTTACTTTCTTTTTTATCCTAATACTGACCAATTCAATAATAGCAATAAAAGTTAAATACAACTGCCTTGTTAGTACTAATGCATTTAAATCACTTTAACTACACATGTATATCAAATATACAAAGTGACAAAATTGTTTTATTTAAAACTGTAGGTAATATTGTTATTAACATCGATTAATTTATTGCATAAAACACTTGAAGATTATGTATAATAAACGTTTTGTGAGATAAGAGAATTGTTGTTTATACAAGATCTATGTTTTAAACTGAGCAAGTATTCCTATATCCTACCTTCTAACATATAAGCAAGTACAATATATACAAAATATGGATTATTTCAAAATTGTTATTATGCTAATGTGAACTATGTTTATTTTTATATGCAAAAAAAGCATGGTAAACATGTTTGTAATACATCTGTAATGTAAATCTCATATCAAAATCGAATTAATTAAAAATTATAAAGTTAATAATATTTATTTATATGACTTTTGTGCAAACAGTTATAAATTATTTTATTTTAGTACATTCTTGCAAATTTTATTTTATAGAAATCATTGTTTATATTGCAATTCATTGTAGGATATCTTATCTAATTTCAACATGATGGCATTTGACTCTTAAGACCCCCGCAAACTGCGAGATATTTTGAAATATTTAAAATTGTTTTCCTACAATACTTTTAAAACATGTATGTAGTTATCAGTATGGGTGATAGTATGTGAGCTCTAATGAAACGGAGGTTAACTCAGGGTCGACCACTTGTTGAGTCTCTTTCATACTGGTTATATATAGAAGCCGGTGCTTTGTAGCCTCAAGTCAAGTAATAATACTTTTATATAAATCTATATACCTAGATTTTTTCGGTATCATAATTAGATACAATGTCTACAGGAAATTTAGGTGAGTTACATTCATAATTATTAAGCAAAAGTAGAAAATGTATTATTCCACATCTATAAATAATTACCTATCATACATACATTGCACGTTTTTCAATAATTGTTTATATTAGGTTATAATAACACTAAGTTATATTGTAAAAGTATTGTTTATAAGTTAATTTTTTATATTTACTATACATTGACAATTATTAATTTTTATCTTGTTATATTTTCAGCACTTTTAAGTGTTTCTGATAAAACAAACCTTTTGCCATTTGCAAAGAAATTACATGAACTAGGATTAACTTTAGTTGCTTCTGGTGGAACTGCTAAATCTTTGAGAGATGCAGGTCTTCCAGTGGAAGATGTTTCTAACATTACTGGAGCTCCAGAGATGCTTGGTGGACGAGTAAAGACTCTTCATCCTGCTATACATGCTGGTAAAAAATTAATATATTTGAGCATCTGTTTGTCTTCACTAATATTAACTGACTTAGTACTGAATAAAATATTTATTTATTATATAGGTATATTGGCTAGATTGACTGAATCAGATCAACAGGATCTTGTTAAACAAAATTATAAGCTTATTCAAGTTGTTGTATGCAATTTATATCCATTTGTAAGTACTATTTCAAAACCAGATGTGACAATTGATGATGCAGTAGAAAATATAGATATAGGTGGAGTAACTTTATTACGTGCTGCAGCCAAAAATCATAATAGAGTGACAGTTGTTTGCGATCCTAAAGATTATGAACAAATTGGAAAAGAGATAGAAGTATCAGCTAATAAAGATACTTCTCTAAAGACTAGGTATTTTGCATATTATAAACTTTTAACCACTTTGAGTCCACATTAATGCCTTTGTTTTTATTTTTTAGACAAGAATTAGCTCTTAAAGCATTTACTCATACAGCAGAGTATGACAATGCTATTTCAGATTATTTCCGTAAACAATACAGTGCTGGAGTTTCTCAGCTAACACTGAGATATGGAATGAATCCTCATCAAAAACCAGCACAAATTTTTACAACTTTAGGCAAATTACCATTGACTGTTGTAAATGGTTCTCCAGGCTTTATTAACCTGTGTGATGCTTTGAATGGTTACCAATTGGTAAAAGAATTGAAAGCAGCTTTAAACTTACCAGCTGCAACTTCTTTTAAACATGTCAGTCCAGCTGGAGCAGCTGTTGGTGTACCATTAGATGCGGTGCAGGCAAAGTTATGTCAGGTAGATGATTTATTGGATCAACTTACTCCATTGGCAACTGCTTATGCACGCGCTAGAGGAGCAGATAGAATGTCAAGTTTTGGAGATTTTGTAGCATTATCTGATCCATGTGATGAAGTTACAGCTAGAATTATATCTAGGTAATTTACAATGCAATGTAACTTTATGAAAATTAAAAAATTATATTTCTATAAGTCTGTAATAAATTTCAGAGAAGTTTCTGATGGTATTATTGCACCGGGTTATTCGGAAACTGCGCTCCAAATTTTAAAGAAAAAGAAAAATGGAGGATACTGTATTCTTCAAATTGATCCCAGTTATGAACCAGCTTCAATGGAACATAAAGTTTTGTTTGGTTTAACACTGGAACAAAAGCGTAATGATGCAGTTATTAATAATCAAACGTTTACCAATGTGGTAACTAGTAATGTGAAGACTGTTCCTGATGCTGCCATGAGAGATTTGATTGTTGCTACCATTGCTGTAAAATATACACAGAGTAACTCAGTGTGTTATGCAAAAGATGGACAAATTATTGGAATTGGAGCAGGTCAACAATCAAGGATTCATTGTACAAGACTTGCTGGTGATAAAGCTGATAATTGGTATGTTCATTCAATGTCACATGAATAAAATATAATGACTGTTCCTGTTACCTGGTTTTTACAATTAATATTCTAACATGCAGGTGGTTACGACAACATCCGAAGGTTATCAATATGAAATTTAAGAAGGGTGTGAAGAGAGCAGAAATCTCAAATGCAATTGATAATTATGTAAATGGAACTGTAGGGAAGGATATGGATGAAGCTACTTGGGCAGCTATGTATGAAGAAGTTCCACAAAAGCTCACGGAAAATGATAGATTAGAATGGATTAAAAAGGCAGAAAATGTTGCTTTGAGTAGTGATGCCTTCTTTCCATTTAGAGACAATGTGGATAGAGCCAGATTGGTACAGTTATTTGTTATACTAGCTTATGGTCTTTTCTTTTTCCAGAAAACATTTTATCAAATTAAATTCTTAATTACAGAGCGGTGTTAAATATATTGCAAGTCCTTCTGGTTCTACAAATGATCAATCAGTAATAGATGCCTGCAATGAACACAAAGTTGCGTTAATTCATACTAATTTGAGATTATTCCATCACTAAATGGAAGGTCGATTTCATAAACAACAGTGCATTCATAACAGTGTATCATAACAAAGATTATTTTGTATACGTAAGAATAAATAAAAAGCAATACCCTCAGTATACACATCTTGTTTTCATAGATTGTGATAAACAAGATAAATTCATGTTATAACGCAATTGCTTACAAATGTGTGTAAAAAACACTGGTTTTATTAAAACATGTTAAATTCATATATTTTTACATAACAAAATCTTTAAAATAACTATTAATATATATTTACAATATATCAACAATATTCTCTTTAATATTTTAATTTATCAAGTCGTTTCTATGGAACAATATTCCATTGGCATTCTAAATTTGGTTCTTCGATCTGTAAATAATAATTAAATTATATTACAATTGTATAGTTGAATAAATTAAAATCTTAGGTACTTAATTCACCTTTGATGTTAGGTCATCAACACATGCTAGTCGAATACGTGACGCAGTTGCAGGTGCATCAAATCGAAAATAGTCATTGAGACCAACTTCTTTTCTAGCAGCTTTAATTGCTTCTCTTATTGCAAAATACACTGAAGATGCGAGAAACAGTGGCGGTTCTCCAACAGCCTAAATAAAAATTCGAAAAGTCGATCACACAAATTAATTTTATTTAACATAGGATATATTACCTTAGAAGAATAAACAGCTCTAGGATTTGAAGCACCCCTCAATAAGGATACATTAAATACTTCAGGAATATCTGTGAATCCAGGTAATTTATATGCACCTGGTCCTCTGCTAGCAAGAGCTCCATTTCTTAAATAAACCACCTCCTCAAGTGTAAATAAACCATATCCTTGAACAAAACCTCCTTCAATTTGCCCTATATCAATTGCAGGATTAAGACTTTGACCTAAATCCATTACAATATCTGTTCGCAATACCTACACGTTAATTAAAAAACAAACATACATAATTCCTGTTAAACATATATGATAAAAAATTATGTAATATTATTTATAATGATTATACCTGGTGATCACCAGTCAAACAATCAACCTCCACTTCTGAACATGCAACGCCATATGTGAAGTAATTAAACGGATTTCCAGAATTAGTTTCAAATGAATATCCTATATTAGGTGTTTTGTAAAATCCAGTAGCAGAGAGACTTATCCTTTCAAGGTAGGCCGTAGTCACCCACTCCTCCCAGGTTCCATTTGGTTTTTTATCCATTATCGGCTTTAATCGTTTCATAATTTCTTCGCAAGCAATCTACAATTTTGTAATTACATATTATGCATTAAGCTTCTAGTGGTAAATGTTAAAGAACTCAGAATTAATAGAATAATAGGCGTTCTCACCATAATAGCCATTCCATTCAAATCTGAAGCCGCACTAGCTGCTGTAGCAGATGTATTTGGCACTTTGTCAGTAGCAGTTTCCATTATATGTATTTTATCTGGTTTTATTTTTAATGATCTGCTTGCTACCTAAATATCAAAGCAATGCAATGGTATAAAAAATACTCCAAATATGACTCTTGAATTTAGAGTAATCATACATTACTTGTATCATTTTTGTGTGTAGACCCTGACCCATTTCGACACCACCATGACTAATTAATACAGAGCCATCCGTATAAACATGTACAAGTGCTCCTGTTTGATTCAAAAACACAACAGTGAAGGAGATACCAAATTTTGTTGGAACTATTGCCAAACCCCTCTTTTTATATCTATTTTCTCTATTAAAATATCATTTATTAAATTTAGTTCAAAGAGGAAATGAAATCCATAAAGGTGGATGAAGACGTATAAAACGTACGTATTATATTTTTGTATCTGGGCTAGTCGCTCATTGTAATTGGACGATGAAACACATTCTTCCCAGCAACGTTGTAATGTACAATTAATAAGCTTTTGATTGTAGTGGGTTTTGTCTCCTTCTTTATATAAATTTAATTCTGAAACCTATTAAATCAAGTTCTCATTGTTCTCTTAATTTATGATTTTGTTAGCATATATTGTTATGAGATTGTTAGTTTGTATTATTATCAGTTAATGTTATACCTTGCTAGGATCAATTTTTAAATATTCTGCGATATGCCGTACAACGGTCTCGGCTACAAACATTCCTTGCGGCCCTCCAAAACCACGGAATGCTGTATTTGATGGTAAATTTGTTTTACATATAAAACCATAGATATCCATTACTGGGATTTTATAAGAATTTTCACAATGAAACATGGCACGTTCTACAATCTAAACAATGTATGTCTGACATGTACAAAATGCTCAGCACATTAAATACAAAGTTGCAATAAAACAATAAATTTACCGCACTAGAGAGATCAAAGGAATAACCAGCATTATTATAAATGTAAACTTGCATTACTTTAATTGCACCAGTCCCATCAAATCCTACTTTATACTTAAATAAAAATGGATGTCTTGTTCCAGTTATCATCATATCCTCGTCTCTATCCAACATGCAACGTACTGGCCTTTTTAATCTACAAATTAAAATAATGTATATGATTTCGTTTCAATAAATAAAAATTGAACGACTCTCCAATTAAAATGTAAAAATCTAACGCAATAATACTTGTGTGCAGCGAAAGCAACTGGCAGAGCAACTAGCGTAGCGCGAGACTCCTTTCCTCCAAAACCACCACCTAGTCTTTTTACTCTCACTACAATTTTATTCTCATGAATATTTAAAATATGTGCAACATGTTTCTGAATTTCTGTAGGATGTTGCGTAGAACAAAATATTTCTAATTCATCTTCTTTTGGAACTGCCACACACGCTTGTGTTTCAAGATAAAAATGTTCTTGGCCCCCCGTTCGGATTTCTCCTTCAAGAATATGTGGAGATTTAGAGAAAGCTTCTTCTGCGTCACCATTCTTTATACGTTTTGGAGTATCGTTGAGAAATGAATTGTGCTTAATAGCATCCTAAAATTAGTTTAAAGTACTGTTAATATAAATTATGAAAATTATTTATTATGGTCATGAACAGTATTTTGTTGTACCTCTATACTGAGGATCACTGGTTCTAAATTCTCATATTCAATTTCAACCATTCTAGCTGCCTTTTGCGCCGTATACTGATCAACTGCTACGACTGCTCCAATAATTTGACCATGGCTAGTTACCTTAATAAATAATAGATTTCTTTTGTCTCGATGAATCAAATATATTTATATGATAAATACAATTTAATAATACAAATGTTACCTTATCTGATACAAAGACTTCTTCGTCCTGAAATATAGGACCATGCCATCGCTGTTTCTCAGGTATATCTTTAGCGCTATAAAAATCTACTACACCTTCTAGGGCCAATGCTTTAGTTGCATCAATTTTCAAGATTTTTGCATGAGCCCTGGTAGATAATACAAGACCTAAGTAAAGTTCATTGTAAAGTTTTGGCATATCATCACAATAAATTGCTTCTCCTGTTGCTTGTTTCAGCGCACTAGCGTGGACAATAGGTCTTCCAAGCAAATCATTTGGTTCTTGATTTTTTGGGACCTAGTTACAGAAATACACAATATTCTTTATTATATACAATGTATTGAATTATGCAAATTATAATTAATACATACTAGTTGATAATATTGTGAACTGTTTGGTTCTTTAGAGTGAAATCTATCAATTGCACTTTCAACTTCCCTAGGTATTGTCTGATCCGATAGCGATTGTAACTTTTTTGTTACGTGTAAAAATCCTTTAAAGAACAGACTGCAAGTCAAAAGAGAAACATTATATAAAATATTATTTGTTTTAAAATAGCCGATGCTAAAATATATATACCTTAACGTTAAGGACTTGCGATATTTAACCATTCCACCTGGAACATTGTCTGGGAGAGGAAATTCCTCTATTAGGGAATTATGAACAGCTTCTAGGAGATCCGTATTCCATTTCCTAAAGAAATGATGTATTATTAAAATTACTTAATGTTACGCATTATTAATATATTTTTTTAAATCACCTTCCTATCATAATTTCACAAGTTTTTCTGGCTAAAACCGTTGTTGGAGCCATTCCACCGAAAGCCAAATATGCTTTCTGTACAATATTGGTTTCAGGTTCAAAAAATACGTTCAACGCCATATTAACAATAGCAATATCATCATCCCGTCTTCTTGCTTGCTTATAAGCAAAAAAATACTGATTCTAGAAAATAAAACAAAAATATACGTTACTACAAAATGCCAAAATAATGCATTAATTCATAGCTGTTATTCACCTGTTCAGAAAAGGGTATTTGAATCGAAACTAAAACCTCTTCAGGTAAAACGATATTCTGTCTATAGCCCTTAAAGAAATTGTGATCCATTGAAATAAGCCTACTTTCACTTGTCAAGCTCGAGACATTTAATTTTATTCCTGCTGCCATAAAAATTGGATTTAGATCTGATATAGGACTTCCGGTCATTATATTCCCCCCAAGAGCCTATGGGTAAACTTAGATAAATATTTAATAATATAAATTATAGAATGTTGCAAAGAAATATAAACCCAACTCACAGCAACATTTCTAACTTGTTTACCAGCAAACCAATGAAACATACTAACAATTTCACTGAAAATTCTTGTTCTATATTCTGCAACAATAAACAATCCGTAATATCTAGATATACAGTTGTTACTAATTTTTACAATCATATTTTTAATACTTAAAATTCTTACCTGGTTGTTTATCAATTTGATCTCTTAAGAATCTCTCCAATTCATTCAGTGTAACACTGGCACCTACATTTATTACTTCTGAATCCTCGTTAATGGTACGCATTTCTTTAATTAAAGTTGGCTGTATAAGAACTGGATAAGATACATGCTTAAATTTGACTTCAACGCCTACAAAGAAGTATTAAACATTAGATAGTTGTGCACATGATTCATAAATGAAAAGTTCTAAAGAGTAAGATTAAAATAATTAACATGGCATTTACCTATTTCAGTATTTCCTACAACAATTTTTGCATGTGGATATTGATTTTTCAAACGAAGTAATTCAGAAAGAGTTGTTGGTCTGTACCAAGTAACATTCTTTCCTTTGATAATCAAATATTCTTCATCCAAATGTGAGGAGATCTAATTTTTAATTGCTTGTTGTATAACAGCTACAGTAACTAAATAAATATTATTATTTTTAATTTGAAATAAAATAATCAATTCACCTGTAATTTGGGTGGAAATATAATTTCTTGAGAAGGATCGTATGGACAGAATTCTTTTGAATTAAAAACTTCTGTAGGTTCTGATATAGGTACTCTTTTGCAACATTTTTCTCCCATTTGACATTCTATGTTCATTGATTTCTCTTGATGCTTTGACATTAATTGAGCTTTCTCCCATTCCTCTGTGAAAGTTTTATAGGCTTCTATGATAGGGCGATACCCAGTACATCTACACAAATTTCCTGCAAATTGTTTTATTATATTTTTGAATCTGGTTCCAAATATAATGACTGCGAATACAATGCATCTAATGATTTACCTTGGAATGCAATTTCAAGGTCTTTCATGTTGGGTTTTGGTGTACTTCGCAATAAGGCATACATAGACATAACAATTCCTGGTGTGCAAAAACCACATTGTGACCCATGTGCTTTTGCTATCCGTTCTTGTACTGGGTGAAGCTTTGTTTTAACACTACCAATTCCTTCCACAGTGATCACTGCTAATCCATGAACAGCACAAACTGGTGTTAAACAAGCATTTACTGCTAAGTGCCTGAATATCATTAAAATTATCAGTCAAGGAAAAAGTCAGTTAATTCTAAGAGTTTTTAAAACATTTAGCCTTTAGCCAACAGTAGGATATTGTTGTATGAATATGATTAGCTGCTTAAAAGGATACATAATATTTCCAGATGCACGGTCCAATTTTGATATCATTACAGTGCATGCTCCACAACCACCTTCTGCACAACCTAGTTTTGTACCAGTTAAATGTACTAAATTATTCTAGTTAAGGATTTCTAATTTTTTTTATATTTTTAATATATAACATTATAAATTATCAGAAGAAGGATACACTTGTTTCTTAGATACCATAGTAATGTCCATTCTGGATCAACTTTGTCATCTACAATCTAAAATATAAAAAAAGTTAAAAAAATTAAACATTAAACAATTTTCATGATGCAATTTCTTAACACTTTGAATACTTTGTTTCAATCATTCTTGGGCATGAATTTGAACTGGAAATTGCTGCATTTTTTCTTCAAATATACATAAAGTTAATTTGAATGTTGCAATGGATTTACCTCTTTCCCATTAATAAAGAAGACTAATGTATGTGATACTTTCACATGTTCTATGTTATTTGTCATAGTGGATTCAGCACAAATGGCAGTTTCTTTGTTTTGTACCATCTGAGGAAACCTGTGAAATTAATAATTCTAAAATGAATACTTTTGCTCCTTAGCTTTTCCAGTGTTGGCTAATACATTGTATACATTTATAAGAACAACTTTTATATCATTGCATAAATCTTCTTAAATTCCACATGTATATCTGTATTTATCTCAGTAATGATATTCAATGTCATTAAGAAATATATAACATAATTGTTGTGCAATATATACTTCTTAACAAGATAGTGATAAAAATGATAAGAATGATAAGAACCTAACTCATCTGTAACAAACAATCAATGAAAGGAAATAATAAAATCAGTGAAATGACAGTCAAAAGAATTAAATGCATGTATTTAAAAAATGATCTATATGATAATAACATTCATATATTACTATCATAATGTATGTGGTCTTTCATTTGAAATAATAAATACTTACTGAATAAATAAATAACATATATTTATTAAACAATAGAACAATGAATAATTAACAACAATTCAAATAACACAACAATCTTAAATTGACAATTGAAATTAATACCTCAATAAAGTTTTCCAAATTCTACAACTGTTGAGGCAACTTAAACATAATTTAATATGTCATTAATAAAAAAGAACTATAAACAATATATATGTATAAAAAACAGTGTTTTCAACACAAGTATATAATGATAAAGTATTAACAAATTAAAAAGAAACAGCTAATGAAAATGACATGTATTTCTTATGAGTCTCAGTGGTATACTTAATCTTATAATGAAGTTAAAGCCGTGACGCGTTATTATATAAATTATAAAAACTCTTACCGTTTACTAACAAACTAAAACTATTAACTGGTTAAAGAACTTTCACGTGCAACCACTTTGAATAACAGCAAACGACTGACCAGTAGGTTATCAAATAAGATATGCTTTTTCTGTGACGTTTTATTAAGAACTCGTATTAATGGGAATTAAGCAATTGTCCCTACCACTTGTTGCTAAGACGCCTCCTTGGAGAATAATGAATAGAGAACTATGTGAATATGAATTTATGCAATGAGAAAACAGGATTAGTCTGATTGTATAATCCATTTTTTTCGTGCTGTTCGTTTCTCTCTTTTTTAAATTGTAATCAAAACTGCCGCTTGAATTGGTGGGGTCTGAAGACCGAGACAAAAATCGATATTAATCAAAATATCGATTTTTACCGTAACTCTCACTATATTGCCGTTGTATTATAAAATTGTGTGTACTAAATTCAAAATACTATAAAATTCGATATGTTATAAAATTCAAAGTGCTATAAAATCGACGTATTGTGAAATCAACGCAATATAATGTTCAACAGTGTTACGAACTTTTGTGCAACGTACAATTCGACGTGCTATAAAATTAAAATTGCAAGAATGGTAAAGAATCATATCAAAGTCCTCCGCACGGCTACTTTATTTAGTAGTATCATGATATAGCATTTTATATTGCAAGATACATGTACTAGATACAAATCAGTAATTTGATCTAAAATAATGTATACGTATATAAGATTACATAACATATTTGTTTTACTGAATATTTTATAATGTAATAAATTGTATTTCTTGTGAAATATTTAAATAAATGATATAAAGTATATTTTATATTCAGAATTCTATAGTTTTTATGATCATTTAATCATCTGGCATTAAATGAGTGTAAAGTATAAATTAATTAATATAGTTCATTACAGTAATGGTAAGAATAAAAAGTAGTTTGCAATTTGTGCAACAGATAGTGCTGAGAACACAGGTATCGATTATTCTCGAATACTTCTCGAAGTTATGTAGGTATGTATCGAATTATCAGCTGAATTTTACAGTGAGCGGAAAGTGGCGTAAACTCTGACATTGCACGATATTTTGATGTTTATCAAATTTATATAAAATGATTTTTCTAAAGGAAAATTATAGTGTTCTTGTGATTATAGATAGTGAAATTTCAAGTGACGATGTTGCAGATTTTATTGTCACAATAAAAAAATATCTTAAAAATGAAGATCAGCTAACAATTGCATCAACGAAAGAGCTAGAAAAATGTAAGTATTTACGTAAATGGATATTTACGTGTTATCTGAACACGTGAGTCTCGGTTATCTATTTATATATTTTAATATACTTCTAGAAAATGTCATTTCGAAATACACCTTTTACTTCTTGTAAGAAAACGATTTATATTTATTCGAGGAACTTTTTTCAGATATCAACAATGCATCTTCCTATGACACGATTATTTCTGTCTTTAAACAATCCTGTCCAAATCACAAAACATATTTTGACAAATGTTTACGGGCATTAAAACCAAGTGGCACATTAATTAATTATGAATCATTTGAACAATCAGAAAATGTACATTCTGTTTACGAAGAGAGAGTATTGAGTTTAAAATTGACTGGTTTTAAAGTCAAAGTGCATGAAAATGTAGACACATCGCAACTAAAAAGTTTATTACTTAGTGTATACAATGATCTAGATAAAGTAGCAGAAGTAATAGCAGAAAAACCATCATTTGAGGTAAGCTATGTGTTTGCGATTATTATAAATTTGAATAGAAAAATTGTACTTTAATGTATCAATGTTTCATGTAGATTGGTTCTAGTGTAAAACTTAACTTTGGAAAAGAAAAATCATCCAATGTTTGGAAGTTAGATGATGCTGTTGATGAAGAATTAATTAACGAGGATGAACTTTTAGATGAAAGTGATATTATAAAAGTTAACGCACCTAGCTTAAAAGGTAAATCTAATTATATACAGGCACTGACAATAGTTCTTTAAAAGGTATTTTTACTTTAAGCATTAATGCATATGATGTTTAATTTTAGTGTGTAGCACAACAGGCAAACGAAAAGCATGTAAAGACTGTACTTGTGGGTTAGCTGAGGAATTAAGTGGTAAAACTGCCCCAGAAGGAAATGTGAAATCCTCATGTGGAAATGTAATTATAAATTAAACATTTTTTACGTTTATTTAAAATACTTTGAGAAAAATATCATTAAATGAATTACTTTCCAGTGTTATCTTGGTGATGCGTTTCGATGTGCCAGTTGTCCATATCTTGGAATGCCTGCATTTAAACCTGGTGAAAAAGTAGTTTTGCCTGAAACTCAACTGAAAGCAGACTAAAGGATATTTGTGAGTCATAGTATATTCTGTTTTCATGTTCATTCTTTGTATGTGATTATTAAACTGATTCAAGTTTAATTTTTATTTGGTGGTTAAAAATATATACAAAAAGGTAATATAAATTATTTAAATATTATATTATAAAATTGGTAATAAATTCATAAAAATACAACATTGTACTTAAGTAATTTTATTTCATTCTATTTGTATACAATAGCAATTAACATGTTAATTGTAATAGAATGATACAAAATATTTACATTTCCAGTATTTTTGGTATGTATCAATAAAATACACTTTATTAACAAAACAATAAAATAATTTAAGTATTGCATCATGATTATATAACATCCAAAATATTTAGTACTCTTGATATACCAATGAAGTACAATTGATTGTTTCAACAATGCTTTTACAATAATGTACTCATCATTGTAATAAGTACAAAGTTAAAAAGGAATAAAGAATTTAAGTTGGAAAGCGGCTTGGAAACTACTTATTTAATATTTTATTATAAGGGAATACAAGCCTTTCACAATAAATCCACTATCCCGTCTCTGGAGATCAGTGCCCGCGAAAGGACTATATTCCAAATTTAATTTCAATATATATATATATATATATATATCACTAGTATCATTCTATTTTAACATATTTCGTAGTTTAACAAATGATACATTTTGTATAAAATTACTTACTAAATTCTAAGGGACAAGACAGCAAAAATCAATGCGTTTTATTTTCATTATATTCAGGAACAAAATAAATCGTCATGTACCTAATTTGCTTCTAAGGCAACAGGAACGTTACTCCGCAGCATGAAAAATAAAAATATATTATCGATAACAAAAAATAACAAGTATCGTTTCAATTATTAACTCATCTTTTATGAAACAGGGAATTATTTATACCATGTTAAAAAAATGGTATACAATTTACATCAATACTTAGCTTCATGACAGCATAATAGCTGCATATATAACTTACTTTTTTGCACCGCAATTGTTACATAGTTAAAATTACTTTCTTATTCATTTTATTTAACCATGTTTCATTTGGGTGCAATAAAAGTGTTTCATTTTTATTCTTACTGTTATTATGCGACTATACCTATTAATGTTATATGTATGAAGTTTTACATGCTTAATGTTTCATGTTACTTCGAAATAATAATTTTTACAAATTACATTATTACAGCTAGGGGTGATATTACATATGACTTTGGTACAAATTTAAGTTTACATTTTAAGTAACTATATGGTGTAAAAATTAGCTACCTTTTACCAGTATATAATTATACAGTTCAAATATAAAGAGAGCAATAGAAAGTACAATTTATACAACAATAAGTGGAAGCAGTCAAACAAAAAACTGTAACAATTTTAATGTTTCTCGTATCATTTTATCGTCATTTGTACTATACCATGAAAATCGAAGAATTGCCAAAAATCTTCTGGTCTTCTGGACAAATTTTTCAATAGTTTGTTGTACTTTCTATAGATGTAAAACGTCTATAACTTATATTGATGATTTTTTCGTTTGATATTTCTAAATATCTAGCTTTCAGAAACTTAAGAGTTATGGAAATGTATCATGATTTGACTTTTAATGAATTTGCCTCTATTAAAGAACTGAATTATTCTTTTTTTAATAATTTATATATTTGTATTTTTGTGCGCGCTTGCACAAATATGTAAAATAGCGCTATACAATTTTTATACAAATAGTTACAATTACTTAGCAAATGAAATCACATATATCAATTCAAACTCAAGATCACGTTTTTAAATTTGTCTAAATTGTTGAATAATTCGAGAACTATTTAAGCGATTTTTTTCGTTTTCTTAATAAAACAACGTGTAAATACGTGAACCGTATTGTAGTATAAAATTCGTTCTTTTATGTATAAGTACACGTAATCGACACAAATGTGTCTGATGAATTGAAAAACAACGATTCGCTCAAAAGTTAAATTTTGTAAAAATGTAATAATTTAATGATTAACAGTTATGAACATAATTTATCAACTTTGATGGAACTATTACTTAGAAACATTTAATTTCTTTTTATGGAACATAAACGCAGTTTATGCAATAATCATCTCATTTTAAATTTGTTAAAAATGTACTCAGTGGTACGTTGAGCAATTATTTAGTCTAGCAATTAAGGCAAGTTTTCTGTACCCTTCAATTGCAATCAGAATTAAGTTTTGGTGCTGTTTTAGAACACGTTTAGCTGCTTACAAGCAGCTATTGGAAATCAACATAATTGAACAAGGAAAGAATGAGAACTAGAAAGTATAATTCAAATATTATACAAAACTGTTGGAAAGTTTGTGCATATATACACACACATATATACATATATGTATATATACATATAAGAGTGTATAATAAATGCTATGAAAGTTAGGATTTCTTGTTCTCTTATGAAAAGCATTAACTGTATACTTTAAAAAAGAAAGATTGAATTATTTTCAATAGTTACCTGCAATCATTTTTATATGAACACAACCCTATATATATATATCATACGATATAATAAAAATTAAGTGCTCAAGAAGACCTTTGGCTTTCTTTTTCTGACTGTATCATCGTTACGGTATTCCCGTACTTTCGTATAAGTATCATCACTAAATATAACAATAATACTACAACATCCTGAATTATGTACAGACGTGCAGTTTCGCGAAGCTAAATTTTTCATAGACTCTACATGAAGTCCACACGGTCTCCGCCAATTGTCACGTCGAAATATTAGTTTATGCTACCACGAATTTTCCTCCATGTTATCGAGTAAAGAATTCTTCTCTTCTTTCTTAGTACTGTTACTGCCCGGCATTGCCGTACATAATTTTGGTTCGAAACAAGGCTGCAAAAAATAAGATTTTAAATAAGAACGATCCAATTAATTTTGTAATCCTGAGTGAAGCATGATGGAAACAAATATTATCCTCATGAATGCAGAATTTTAAAACATACTTCAATTTTCAATATAAGGTAATAGGATTGGCAATGAAATTTGTTGAAATTAAATGCATATCTTTCTTTAATGAAATACAGCGGCACTGAAAATTGATTTAAACAAAAGCGGACACATGGCTTATTTATATAAAAAGAGAAACTTTTATTGTAAAACAAGTTTTATAATAAAAACAATGTAGAAAAATAATATTATAGAAAGGTTGCTATTAATTCCAAGTAACTTTCTTATAATACTTCAAACTTGTTTTATTAATTTTAAATCTAAAGCCTTGACAATACAAGTATGTTTTGTTTTAAATTAATATTGTTATTAAAACTGTAATCTATACTGCAGCAATTATAAACAATTACAGCTACGTAATAAAATTGGTGTTAAAGTATTAAAAAAATAAATTAGTAATAAATATTACATAATAATTTCAATTATAATTAAATATCTTAATGATAATTAAGTATCTTTCGTTACACTTAGGTAGATAATACTTATAATTAAAAAAAGAAATGGAAGATGATGTTATTACTTTGTTAATATTTACAGCGTAAAAAGATGCGAACGAGATTTTTAAGCGAGATTCTTGGTATTGAAGAAAAAGAAATAGTTTACTTGCATCTGTAATTTCTATTTTTAAATCTTTCAACCAGTTCTTTTTCTCCTAAGTTTAATAGCTAAATGGCTGCAGTATATATCATAATTCTCTTTTTTTATCCATTGCACATGTTGCATGCCATATAAACATAACATGCACGCAAATAATACTTTATATTTTATTTGGTGATTCACTCACAGTTTCACAGATATTCATGTTGCAGCAGTTCTCTATGGTTATTTCACATTGACTATCTGGCAGCTGTGGTCTAGAAGTTAGTGGCGTTATACCGCCTTTGCTGACAACAAAGCGCTTTTTGATACGTGGTCGTCTTCGTAATTTATTTACATAGTAACTAAGTACAATTATTACAAAAACAAGTATAGCAACAAATGCTCCAAACATTGGTAGCAGTATTCTGTACTCATCATCCTCTCTAGATTCGATCATTTGTAGCATTCTTTGATTTACTTCTGAGCACCTGTTTAAACAACAGTCCCATAATAACTCACATCTTATAATCATAACTAAATACATAAATCAAACTTAACATACCTGCATTTAAGTTTAACAGAGATGCTGTTAGGAACTGAATTGCTATTTGTACAATACATTTCACAAATTTCAGTATTATTATATAAAGCTTCACAACGAGATCCCTCTGAATATTTACATGTACAAACTGGTTTATCATTTTGGACGGAGCAGTGACCATCGTGTAAGCAATAATCTTTGCATAGGTCTGTTTCACACCTTGGTCCAACAAATGTGCTACTGCATTTGCACTGGGGCAGTCCATGGCTATTTATACTACAGCTGCCTTGAAGGCAATAATTGTGGCAATGATTTATCTCACAATGTGTACCAGTGAACCTGAAACAGTAATATTCTCATTAATTTTTGAAACATTAAAAAAAGTTAGATTTACTTCAAATCTTATACTATACTATTTTTACAGGAATCTGCAAATATTTGATACTCACCCAAGCTTACAGCGACAGCTACCAGTTTTCTCATCTATAGCTCCGTCGTTTAAGCACTGTTTGGAGTTCTCGGTGGTCGATTCCGATTCTTCCGTGCTCGTAATTAAATTATTATACGACTCCACCATTTGCATAGATTTGACTACACTAGTTTTATGCCTCTTTTTCGCAATCGCCGCGCAGTCAACGTCTCCCACGTTGTCACGTGCTATTATACCGGTCGGATCGACATCATGATTCGACGTGAAATATGAATGAAACTCTGTCGGCACATCGCCGGCTGTCGCGTTTTTCGATATCGTCCAAATGGCCCTGAACACCATATCGGACCAATAAATCGACTCATGATCCACGGCCAAAGAAACTGGCTGTTGTCGACTATTGTGAACCAGTAATTCACGCTCGGTGCCGTCAAGATTGCTGCGCTCGATTTTAATTCGTAAACCCTCAACATCGTCGATCCAGTAGAGTTTCTCTTCGGCGTGATCTATAGCCACAGCAATCGGCTCGTACAAATTTTCTTTAACCACGGTAATTCGATCGCTTCCATCTAGATTCGAGCGCTCGACGCTCGGATTTGTATTATTACTATTTACCCAGTATATGTGACTGGAAACAACGTATAATGGTCAGATAACCGCGTTTCCCTTTCGTCCACGCGTTTAAATGTGTTTTTTTCATGTGTTTCGTTCGTCCGGTTCGTTTTTTGTACTCGACGCGAGAGAACTTCGAAATGGCCGAGATTGCCGTTGTCTACGTAGGGACATAAATGGCACACCTGTTACATACGTCCAAAGCGATACCACGTGGGCTCCTGTACGTCAAATTGTGCAGCACGATTGGTTCTTCTGGCGGGCCGTCCACTGGCACGTGCATCTTCATGATCACGTTTCTCAAGGCGTCGCTCCACAACAATGTTCGCGTCTTCATGTCGAAAGCGATTCCTAGGATGTGACTTTTGTTTTGTCCTGGGAATAATACAGTGAATTATTTATAAATACACGACGCATGTAATTCATTGTAATCGGATTTATATGATGTTTCAAAGATGCGAGTGAACCTTTCGTGATGCTCGGATGCTAGATAGATTCTTTTGGTGAAGTTTACTCGTGCTTCGTGACGTCTGTGCACTGAATCTTTTATGAAAGAAAAATAGCAGTTTTCTTATTTGAGGTTAACAAATTATATGCCACGTTACCTTTGGGATATTTCAGAGAGTAGTTCAATCGTTTAATGTGTTCGTTTAAATGGCGTATCAATTATCGATACACTATCGACTTATTGACAGATAATGATAGGCTGGATAGTATCATTAAGTCTAATTCGACTAATTCAAAAAGTTGTTTTTCATTTCAAATTTACATTCAGATATAATGTAACTTGACTTCAAACACGAATCGCTGGATTTGAATGATAAAATTAACGATCGATACATCGTTTAAATAAGATCGATAATTGATTGGTAATCAGTAACATGGAGGGTCTGTCTTATTCGAGTCACGTAGGTTACATAAATATGTATTAGAGTAATAATACATCATTATACTATGAAATCATAAACTTATACATAGTGTTATATGAATATATACTTTTGTGCGTCGTGTTATATGGATATATACTTTTGTGCGTCATGTTATATGAATATATACTTTAGTGTGTCGTGCTATACGAAGTATTGCACTAGCCTAAAAATTAAAATGAGGTAAAGTAATTGTTTTTCTACCGTGTACTTACTTTTAATTAATGGTTTCAACGTAAAGTTCTTGTCTTTCAGATCGCTACTGAATATCGACACGTTTTTATTGCTTGTGTCACTAAAAAACATTGTTTTGGTCGCATCATCGTAACCTATTCCTGCTAGAGCCACAGCTTCCGCCAATTTGGCTTGACCGGTTAGCGTCTGATTGCGCGCGAAAAATTCGATGTCGCGTCCTATCACTACTGCTAAGTCTGTAAGAAAAAAACAAATAGAAATTAATTAGAAATTATATTCAGTAAATGATAAAAATTCGATACAGAAAATCTCGCAATTCTCACATCTTTTTTCTCTAAAGAAATAGCAGTTTAAAAATATAACCGGGGTCCCTATCGACCCCTGCTTGATCCGTCACTGCAATTTAAACGTGGAGTGATCCAGTAATCTTTGTCGATTATTAGTAAATAAATCTACTTAATAATTAAACGGAGGGGAATTTATCTGTAATTTCTTCTCTCACACTTGAAGAAACGATAATTTTAATGTTTTTATGATATAAAGTGGCACGTTTGGAAAAGAACAAATTTCGTATCAGAAGATACGATAATTTTAGTAAGTTCCAAATTATACAACTTGAACGTGTAAAAAACTTCTTCTAAATAGAACTATCTATTTTTACAGACATCATTCAATCGCAACAGTTTCAGGTCAAGTTCACTGCATGACAATTCTCAATCTTGAATAAGATATGTATGACACTAATTAGACAGATTATTTATTCAAAAGATTTACTTAATTATCATTCTTTTTATTTGCATTGTTTAAGATATATACAAATTAAAGCAAATGAACTTGCATTAGTTTTAAATTATATTTGAATAGTGATTGGGTAAATGTAGCGTTCAATTTTATTATATGGCACTCTCGTTATATTGCCAAGGTTTGAAACGTTAAATGATTTATTAAGCTTTCAAACGTATCAGATTGAAGTATTCATTTTTTTTCTAGTTGCGAGGACATTTTTTTCAGCAACAATTTTGCTGACTAGTAAAACCGTCTCGGTTTCATTAACAGAAGATAGCGCGCGCCGTACGTGCATCACGCACTTTTATTCTCATAGTTGTAACAAGATATCACCCTTTTGGAATGCGGTATCGTGTAATTAAAGTCGAATCTACGTCGCGTATTCACTGAACTTAAGATTTGCTAATAAATCGTGGAAAACGTAAGGATAATTTCTTGAAATTAGAAACATTATTTATATTTTTTTAACGCTTCCCACTGAGAGTATTATATTGACACCTTACACCCTTTGTTATTTTATAGATAATAAAAAAGTAGTATAAAACACTGACTACCAGGAAAATTAACAAAATATTTTTCTCCTTTTTTTAATCCGTTAGACGATTAAATATCGTCAGTAGACAGTGTCTCTTTGAGGTTATCAGTTCAAGTATTTTTGCTATGATTTATTAGGTGATAGATTTATTTTTGCTGAGTTTATGCTGATCTTTTCCTTATACGAAGTACATTCGATACATGAATGTAGAGCAATAAATAGTTCTAATAATATACATGTTTATTAAGCTGATCACGCATTTAAAGAAAATTGGGTGCCAATGTTTTCCATAAAAGATACTAATCTAAATTATGGAAGTTTAATGTGCGATAGTCGTATAATACGAATTGAGATAACTGAAATCATAGTTTTATAGAAATTAAAGTTTTGAATTCATTCGCAGCGTCGCGCGCATTCATATTCAAATTACGCGCGTTGAAGTCAAAAGGCGGGAATTTCAAATCTTATGTTTTTCAAAAATATCGAGTTATACGTAAACAATTTTTAGTCTAACTTTAAGATTATAATAGACACGATATGTGTAAAATGTACTAATTCAATCTTGAAATTTTCCACTAATTTTTTTAAATATATGCAAAGATATGTAATACCAATAAGAAGTATGTTAATATTCAAATTTCCCGCGCCGAAAGTTTTCAAATTGATATCGAAAATTCTTCGAGATTCGAATTATTCTTTCCAAAGATAAATTTAAGTAAATCGGCGCACGTGTAAAATCTATCATGGTATAAAATAAGATAACCAAAATTTAACCTTTTCAAGGAAAAATACTACGTCAAAAATGTTTATTCGCACGTACAAGATATCACATCGTTATAATATCAAATAATCCCTAAAAAAATATTTTAATCCCACTGTTACAATCATTTTTAGAATCATTCCAGATAACGAAGTCCTAAACACGATAACGAATTTTCATAGGGAAATCGTGTAATTGTGCAAGTTATTACATCTTGCACAATAGTAAACAAGAAAATATTGTAATTAGCTGAATGAACTGGGAACTACCCGATTAAAAGTTATCGTGTCGATGTCACCGAATCGGATCGAAAGTCGAAGATTATCGAGTTCTTTATTTTCTTCATAACGATCGAGTTGACCAGGAGGAAGCACGTAAATGCGCATAAAGTTCGGAATAAACTGTTGATGTTTTCGTAATGAGAGCGTATGAGCTCGTACGAGGGTTGAGTAACTTGTAGTGCTGTCGAAACAGCAGCAGGTTTCTAAACAAACAAAAGGAAAACCATGTTTTCCATAAATATATGTTGTCTATAAGATAACGAGCTTGCCACGTGAAAAACATGTAAATCACATAAATTTTCGTTGAGGTTTTATACACTTCCATTTTATGCATCCTGAAATTTTATTACTAATATGGACTTTTGTTATATTGCCATAAAATTGACGAACATGTACATTTATTACATTTACATAATATTAGTGCTGTAAGTTTATATTGCTATGCATATAACATGAGTTATTTTCTAGATTCGTTGACCTCGCGTTATATTGCCATTTTCACATGGACAAAAAACACGTCTATTACACTTAAATATTAATGCTGTGAGTTATTATCACGCATATAACAGTTATACTTCAGTTTCATTGACCTCGCGTTATATTGCCACTTTCACATGGATAAGCAAACACGTCTGTAACACTTAAATATTAGTGCTGAAATGTTATTGTCAGACATATAACAGTTATACTTCAGTTTCATTGACCTCGCGTTATATTGCCGCTTTCGCATGGACAAACATGCACATTTGTTACACTCAAATAATATTAATGATGTCAGTTTATATTGTTATACATATAATATTGGTTATTTTCCAGATTCTTTGACCTCGTGTTATATTGCCGTTTTCACATAAACAAACATACACGTCTGTAACACTTAAATATTAGTGCTGTGAGTTATTGTCACACATATAACAGTTATATTCCAATTTCTTTAACCTCGCGTTATATCGCCATTGCATATGTAGATCCGTAATCATTGTAATATCAAATAAATACACCATTGAATCTTGAAATTTGTAAACTTTTATCTAGTTTTATTGTCTGTGGCAATATACCGAGAGTTTACTGTAGTACTTAGTTTCCAAGGAAATATCTTTACCTTCCCTCAAAGTGTAAATGAATAATTCAAAGGTTTTATGTTTTTGGGCCTTTTTCAAACCTGGAACGTTGGTGGCCAGGTCAATCGTGACCCACAATAAAATGTACACATAACGGTGCTTTGGTACTAAATTAGTTAAACGAGAAACAATACCTACAAAAATGGTACAAAGTTTAAAAAATGAAAACGAATTATTCAATAAAAATAATACTATACTATTAATTATAATCTTATTTTACAATATTAATTTTTTTTGAATCTAAAAATTTTACGGGATGGATGAAACTACCACCTTCGCATTCACCTAAAAATAATTAACATTCATTTATCAACATAGACTGATTTTTGCGCAGTTATTATTTTATGTTTTTCCGTTATATTTCCATTCATTGCATCTCAGCAGTTGCTAATAGTTTCTCAGTTGCAAGTTACGTTTGATTTTAATGAGACAGCGAAAAAAAGCAATCGATTAAAACGATTACACGGTTCACGCGTAAAATGCAAGAAATTAACGAGAATAATGAACAATGATATGCAAAGCTGACTCATTTTCCGTCGTCAATACTCTGATTTGCAATTTGTGTTTTGAACATTCGCAAGTTCCGTTTGAACGCTTGCGTCTCATAATCCCTTCGAGGGTCTCGTATTTCTGCTGTAAAAATTGCCTGATAAGAAAACCGCGATTCATCGGAACACTCTTGTTACGATTGATCATAATAAGTAGACACACTTGGAAAGAGAATTTAATACGATGAGAATGCAAAGGATCTATTCAATCATTATTACATGACAATTCACTCAAAGACGGTACTTTTGATGTTCAAGTATATCGAGTTTAATTAAAAACATTTCTCCTGTAAAATTACATCAGTCCCCTATATTACACAATCGCATATTTTACGTAAGTGTATTATATCGATTGGAAGATAAGAATTATTGACACTAAAAGTTTGTAAAGTCAAACAAACCTGTGCAATCTTATCTCTAATTGATTCACTTACTGCAATGTAAGATATTTTTTGAATTTACAATTGTGATATGTCTGCATGAATAAAATGATGATGTAGCGAAAATAGTCATGGTCATTGCCATCAAATTTATCAACGTTCAAATTTCTAAATTTTTTATCTAAAATATTATAAATATTTTTTCATTTAAAAAATTTTAAATAAAAAATATTAGTTATGGAAATTCATATATTAATTGTCAAATAAGCAAATTTATTTGCGTTTCCATATTTTTAAATGTTCAATTGGCGGATGCCCTTTCACCCTTGTCAGCGAAAGCAAACGTACATTGGAAGCAACTGTATCTCCACACGCGAATGGAGAAAACCGATCACGGATTAGACGTTCGAAATTCCGTGTGACATAATTCGTGGGGTCGCATGTTATTTTTAAACGTGTTGACACGCGGATTTCTTTCGGACGCTTTAACGGAGAGCGCAAGAAAAAGCTATCTGTGAAACATGCACTCGTGCATGTCGACCGTGAAACGCATGACTTAAAATTTCACCGGTAGACAAATTGTTCCTGGTCGCTTGAGGTCGATGTAATACGATTCGGGCCTATTTTTCAAGGTTCTACAATGTTTTCGATAAAACGTCGTTACGCGACGTCAATACCGTTGTACGTGCATGCAAATACACTATCGTGGAGCATAATTTGACATTCATTACGTAAATCAGGTATAAGGACAAACTGCTGTTCGACTGATTATCATCTATCGATATGAATTAGAATAAAGTCTCATGATGCGTCTCGACACAAATAAAAGGTCGGTTTCATTCACCTTTGGGTCGTATTTCGTCTTTCTCTATGGTAAAACAGTCCGCGAAAAGTGGCGTACGTGACGAACAGAGCCGCGTGAATGGAGGCAGCGCTCGCGCGACCCGCAACGCGGTCATACTAATACGACCTCGTGTATTTCTCGTGATATTATTGTTAATACGTTAACATACGATTTTTCATCACTGGAAATCAATTGTGGAGGAATCATTCTACTCACCCCATGATCTGGCATTTGTGTTAACCGTTAGAATTGTCAGTATTATCGTAAACGTTACGGCAATGTATTCACGGGATGTCATGGTGTGCGTTCATTTGTTAGGCGATAAATTCAGTCGAAGAATATGTTTTGAACACAGCTGACGGCTGGCAAATTGGAATTTTAGACACACTATGAGATCTCGATTTCTCTTTATTTCATTAACGCACGCAACGAACACTGACACACATCCTCACGCTACGGCGGCGGTGCGCGAACTGAGAACTCGTGACTTCTATGCGACCGTATAAACCAGCGACGGGCAACTGCGCCCGCGAGGGCGCGGTGCATCGATGTGATAGTGGCGTAAAATCGCAGGCACTGATAGCTTGTCAATTTCAAAATTTTCAAATTTTTCTAAATCTATACAGCTAAATTTAAAAATTTTAATTATAAAATTTGCAAATTTGAAATTTCAAAATTTAATAGTTAGAAAATTAATAAATTCCTAAATTTGATAATTTGATAATTTGACAATTTATATATTAACGAAATAGAAAATCTGTCAATTTCATTATTAAAAAATTTGTAAATTTGTAAATTTTAAATCTTCGATCTCCTTGCGCAATAGTGTGATGCGCAGCTAATGTACCGGAAATTCGGTGTGAAGGGCAACTTGCTCAATCGGCAACATAAGTGGTGGTAATATGTGGCAATCTATAAACGTTACATATTATAATTAAAAAATTGAAATAGATTTTTCATTAAACCTATTGCTCACATTTAAATTGTTATATATATATATATATTATTCAACAAAGTGTATTAATTTATATAAATCTATATAAATATATAATTCACATTATTAAAATAAATTTTCATAAACCTTTATTTCGTCAAACTTTTAATTTCCACACTATTATTTTTTTAGTATTCGTTTCATTTATCAATGGAAGAATAAAATTATATTTATCGACAATGTAACAAAATAAGTGCAACACACGGTATCTTTGCTATTAGTGTAGTCAAGTATTACGTTGTTTCAACTTCATTAAAATTGTATGTAGTCATAAATTAGTTTTATCATCCAGATGTAACGAAATGTTTCATTAGAAAGGCAAATGTACGTATGCAATGACATTTTACATGTTAAAAACATTGCATTCAATCCATTTAACCTTCAACTTCGCTGTAATATATACAAGAAGCGTCTAGTGGCGCTAAGATTGCGTAATCTGTGAAATATTGTGTTCGTAGGAAACAGCATAGATGGAGCTGACATAGTATTTGCGATAAAAATATAAAAATTGAAGTGTAAGCATTTTTCAAGTGATAAGGATGCTTAGTTTGATGAATTTGATAATAATTCGGATCAATAACGTTCTTCATATTGAATAAATATAAAAATACGAAATATTAAATAATTGTTATTGATGGCAAAATTATGATAATTGCGATATTCGTACTCTCGGTTGTGCAATGAATAACCGTTTTATACATGTATTATCTATTTGAATATAGCTTCATTTAATTTATATGTCGAAGGGTTGATTATTCAAAAATTTTCGCGCGTAAAAAAGAGCGCCATCTTTGAACGTTATACTAGAACACATTTCTACTTCTTTGGTAATTATTAATTCTTACCACGATATTAATTTTCAATATAAATTGAGGAAACATATAATTTGCATATAATTCATGTTATTGAATTGGAGAATATAAATGGTTCAAATGCAAAGTACAAAATTGTATTTTAATGCGGATATTATCAATTTTAATTTTATATTTCTTTATTTCCTGCCAATATATTATTCTCCGTCATTATATACGTATTTTGTCTTCCGTAATTTTCATTTAAAATAACAGTGCAATAAATTGATACATATTTATTGTTATGTGCACGTGGCTTCAATATACGCAGGATATTATATCCGTTCTTAAAACGTGTGGGTAATGTAATATGCAATGAGCTGATATTTCAACGCATCGATACAGCTCTCGATGATACAACATGTGGCAATATATCCATGTTCTCAATAATATCGATTTTCACCCTGGGCCCCACAATCTCTAGCGCCAGCCCTGCCCACTTTCTGCGCATGTGCACACCTCGCGCAGGGGTAAACCGTCGAGCAACACTACCGCCACAAAATTACCCCGTACAATAAAAGTAAGTCAACCTATCGATGATTCGTCTCGGTCGATATCACTACAATAAAAAAGTAGAAGTCACCAAGATTACGTACTTATAGGTATTCACGAATGACAATCTTCATCTTATAGGTGCTGACAGGAAGAAAAGTTGAAAAGTCGTAAGACGGAAAAGCGTGATGCGCGAAGCGGGAAATGTTCTCTGTGGCCCCGAAGCGACGACGCCACGTACTAGATGGTTGTATATTATTGATCAATAAGAGAGGCTAACATGGGTGACCCGTGCCGGCAGAGGCAGCTGTTACTTCGTTCGTATTTTGACGCGACGTGCGTGTTTCGCGAAAAACCGATCCCAGAACCGTATCCGCGCGATCTCGGTGTTCCCTTGGCTGCCTGCGACGAGGTGATATCGCGTTCGTTGTGCAAACAGCACCGACCATATGTGAAACCCGCCAACCTCGTACTTCTGTGGAAATACACAAATCGAGGGAGACAGAGGGAGTAACTCGAAGAGAGTAATACAACGGCGGAGGCAAAAGGAGTGGGAGCGAAGGAGAGGGTTAGAAGGAGAGGAAGGGAAAGAAAGTGACGGAAGAAAAATCGTAGAAACAGAGGGAGAAGACGCGAGCGACATGTGTCTGTGTTGAAGAATTCTCTAGCCACGATAGTACGACGGCCAAGGGTGCGCCGAGAGAGAAGATCGGTAACATTTTCTTTCCAAATATCCGATACTCTCTCGTCGCCTACACGGAACTATCGATGCAGACCTTACGGAAGAAAAACAGTCCGTGCAAGTGTGAGTAACTGATGAAATCAACCCCCTGCGATTTAATACGTTCGATGTCATTTTGTGGTCTTGGTGTACACGTTGTGATTCGAATCAGGGATGTACACGAGCTGAATAGAATCTTTGGGCTCATTTCGTGGAATTTTAAACAATTTAAGCATTACGTTGTGATATCACCCTCGTAGATCGATCAGGAGCCTTCGAATATGGCTTCCCCTATTTCAGAGGGAGAAAGGTGACCGGTCGCTTGATTCGAGTCCGACGGAGTAATTTGATGTGTGCTTAATGTGTTATGTATTTTAGAAACCTAGGAAGTGGTTTTATAGCAAATAGTCTTTTTCAAAAAATTATTTTGTACTTTTCGCGCTAGTCTTTTTTCGGTTACCGACTGTGGTAACGCAGTTTGTTGATGTCTTAGTACACATTGACGCCGCTAGATGGCAGCACCTACACCTTTCTGTGCGTACTGAAAATTGTTACTCAATTTTTAAATTATTTACATTTTACACATTTTTATTTTATACATTTTTATTTTACTTTATCATATCGTTTAGATAGGAACTAAGTTTTATTTTGTTTTCAGCTTGCCGTTAATTACACTTGCAAGAAGGAGTCATTCATGCAATCTTTTCTGTTTTCTTTTTTCCAAACTTCTTTGTGCAATTTTGTTGAATAAAGTTTATTAGTCCACGGAATGCTTCGTGAGCACGAAACAAAAGAAACAGTTCTACACAAGTCAGTAAACTCAAGTTTCCTTTGAAGCCCTTTTGTCTGGGGCGCCTGACAATAGGCAATCGGCTGTGCAGGCACCCAAGCGGATCAAAAGAGAAGTAACACCTGTTCCAACTGCTTCATTGCTAAACAAATTCATAGCAAATGTTAACCTACATACAAGGTTAAATTCATTCTTCAGCAATTAACAAATGCTACAAAATATCCTTCATTTATTAGGAGTGGACCTGTCACGTAAGTTTTCATCATATGTTGAAGATAAATTGGACATCACATGGACATTATAACATTGTCATTAAACAAGATAAATTAACCTGCAGCCAAGTTAGAAAATTTGGAATTCATTCATTTCATTTAAATTTGAAAATAAGGTTACATTTTCAAAGTTACAAATTTGAAAGTCTATATTTTTTGAATGTACAGAAAGTTTCTGAGAATGTACCTGAGCACATGACCCAGTGTCTTGGCCGCCCGGCTGCCAATACCAATACCAGAATGTCGATGATATCGGTGGTTCCTGAGTTAGATGACTCATCCTATACTTTATTGATCCGGCATTTCGCGCGTGGAGTTTTGTTGTGACAGTGCGAAGCAAACGCTCAGAGATTTCGCATGCGCTCGGCGGAACCAGAAAAGGAAAAGGGCGCGGCAAGGTGACCGGGACGAGGAGAAAAGGGCACACAGTATGAATTGGTTATCCGGATCGCGGTCTGAAGTATCGACAGTTGGCGTTCTCCACTTGAGCCGCACTAGAGTACGTTCAAACAAATGTGCCGGTGTGGTCGTGGCTATTAAAAGTTGACGAGGGGTCGTCGGAAGTGTGCGTAAAGAAGCTCTGCGCCACGCTGGGGATTTCGATAAATTGTCCGTGGAAAGGCAAATCATCCACCGCGACGATACGAGCCTGAAAGATTAAGCCTGAACAGGGGAGAGTTCTGATCAACGAGCGGATTCGAATATCTTCAACGCTGTTGATACGCGTTGCGTTTGATTCTTCAACAATGTTGACTCACTGGGTCAGAATTATGAACCTTCATGTTTGTTACAAGCAAACGATGTGCGTCAGGTACATCTATAACTTTATATGCATTAAGGTTTAAATGTTGGAACATGGTGGAAGTCTGATGTATCAAATTAATGCTTAAAGTGCACTAATATGGGCACAAATATTCTCATTACCACTTGGCTGGTTTAATGTTTAAACAATGACACAATGCACATTTTACAATTTATAGACAGTATTCATTACAATTAGGAATAAATCAAATTTATGAGCATTGTTGAAACTAGATAGTTATTTTTATTAAACAACAATCTTCAGTTTTATATAAGTGTAATTCTGTGATATTTTTAAATCTTCTCTTTTCATATACATTAAGAAATTATCATGTTGTAATATACATAATATCAATGTATAAATTTTTTACATTACAAATAGAGAGTATTTGAAATTATTAGATGAATCACGAAAGTGAAATTGCTTATGTGGAGGACACTCGAAAAAATCTCGTTCCAAGCTTTCGTCCAGCAAATTGATCGTACGACCGATCAATGTTTGTTCGAGTGGTTTCAAAAGCCCCGTGGACGGATCATTTCGCACCCCTGCTGCTTCAAATTCAATAATACTATATCCCGAGATATATGATAATAGAATATGCGTCTAATACGTTTTCTATAATGGAGATTCAATTCTGTATTTCAGTCAAGAACGAGCCAACCCGATTTCTTGGGGAAGGTGTGTCGTTCAAGGCGAAGTTGATCGGTATACTGGAAGTGTCGGAAGCACGTGGGGACCGGATGTGCCAGGCAGCTTTGGCCGATCTGAAGATGGCGATTCGGGCGGCTGGAGAACATAAACAACGAATCGCTGTCCAGGTCAGCATCGATGGATTGCGTTTGAAGGATGAGAAGTCTGGGGTTAGTATCACAATCTTTACTTCATTTTACATTTTCACAATCTTTACTTCATTTTACATTTTGACATGAGCAAAGAATTAGTTAATTTTGTTAAGTTTTGAAGGTTTAACAGCGTCTTGTATTTTGTAGGACTGCCTCTACCACCATCCTGTACATAAAATATCGTTCATCGCACAGGACATGAGTGATTCTAGAGCTTTTGGATATATTTTTGGGTCACCGGACACTGGTCATCGTTTCTTTGGTATCAAGACAGATAAAGCAGCGAGTCAAGTAAGAACAGAGTATTAAACTTTGTTGTACATATTTTTATTGATAGCTACAATCATAAATAATTCTCTAACTATTATATTACACTACTATACATGTATTCTATACTAATGTATAATTTTATACATACCTACAAACAGATATCTATACCACACTATTATACATATATTCTGACATTACAAAAGACAAGTACTGGTATGACTATCCTTAAAATAAAATCAGTGAACAAAATTCCTCGTTCATTCCAAAATTGAACTAAATGAACTTCATCAAGTATCTCACAGTTCGCCACACCCGAACAGTAGTAATTTATACCTTCATTAATGAACGTAGCAACAGACGAACGTAAAAATAATCGAGTATTGCCTTTGAGAAACGAAGGACAATCTTCTGTGCGTTGATTCGATTGAAGAACCGTTCTTGCGCGAATACGGATCGTTTATCGTTAACGATTCGTTTTAGCAAGACAAGGGAGCCGAAAATGATATTTGTCCAATCCGTAGAAGCAATATCGACTTCGTAGCTCGGTAATTCCGGAGGGGTATGTAAATAATTGCATTACACGAATCGGCTCTACCGCCCCAATGATACACTGCGGGAGGTTATTGTTCGATTACACGCGAATCCCTTTGTGCCGAGTTCAAAAGAGCTTGAAATTTCTTCGAGTTTAACTTTATTTAATTCTCACTCTTCCCCTTTGTGTAAAAAATGTTTGGAAAAATGAGTTTGATTTTTATTGAAAAAATGGGGGAGGTACTTTGGAGATTTAGGGATCTGGAAATTTAGGAAGTTAGGATCTGAGAATTTGGTAATTTTAAAATTTTGAAGAATTACAATTTTTGACTCTGACAAAAGTAAAGTTAAAATTTCATAATTCTCCTTTCAGGTAGTCATCGCGATGCGAGATCTTTTCCAAGTGGTCTTTGAGCTCAAAAAGAAGGAAATCGAGTTAACGAAGCAACATTTGGAACAGAACGCCATAAACGTTATCAAATTTCATACTGGAGGCATTTTCACTGAACCCACACCTGACACTAAGGTGATTTAAATCACTGACATAAATCGCTTTTAGTCAGACTATTAAAGAACAATAGTATACTAGAAGTTTTTAGCGTATCTAATAATATTAGATATAGACGTAGTATAACAATATTTTCTCCTAATAGGGCGCAGCAGGATCAGAGTCATCGATTCACCGAGTAAGGAACACGAGTTCAGAAGTAGATAACACTACTGATAAACGAAACGAGTCGCAAAGTGGCGTAATTGCGGACTTGCTTGATATACAGTTCGAATTGAACTCCCTGCAACAAGGAATTCACCATATGGACAAGATTTTTCCCGAAAATCAAACCGCTTCCGCCGATGATCTCTTTGAAACCGATCCTTTCGGTGACTCGTTCGCGAACATGAAAGTACTTTCAGTTTAATAATTGAATAGTTACCCTGTATCAATACTAATACATGCAATATCAATAATTCGTATCGCGTGATTTTAAGTTGCAGTTGGACGATACCGTGAGACCAATTTTACCGCCTCCGCCCTCATCCTCCAAAAGGGGACACCTAGAGCGACAGCAGACGGTTCCGGGTCCTCAGTCGTCGGTTACGTCCAGTCCTGCGACAACCATAACTAGTAAAACGCCGCCGCTTCAAAGTTCAATGCAGTGGTTTGATAAGGAAGCTGAGAACCTCTTCAGCGACAGCGAGTTGACTGGTTCGCCGAAGAATACACCCGTAAAAAAGGAAGTAGAAGAGGTAAATATCTGTTGCTTAGAATATGTCGCATTTTAAATAATCCAGTCATACTAATTCTCTGATCGGTCATTGTTTCAGACGCGAGCCAAAAGTCCCCAGATAGACGTCTTCACAGAACTGGATCCGCTAGGAACTGGCTTGATCAAACCGTACGTTGACAAGAAGGACTTCTTCCAACACCTCAAGAATCCTCCCAAGAAAGTCTTGAAGGATTTGGTCCCTACCAGTTCGGCAGATACGTTCGCAACGAACTTCAATGAGCTCTCGGATCCTCTGGAGTCGGTGAAAGTACGAAACGATCTGATATCGAAGGACAATCAGTTCGACGATAGCAACTTCGCGAACTTTGACCGATTCGATGAAAACGAGGCGGTTCAGTTTGCGTCTACTGATTCGTCGCGGAGAGTAGAAAGCGTGGCAAGACCAGCACATCATCAGCCACTCTCCGTGTCTCTGCCACCTGAAGATGCTTCCTCGAAAACCCCTGCAGTGCCCACTGTTCCTGTGTCTGGAGGCGTGTCCCTGCTTAGTCGAATGGACAAGGACTCTACAGAGTCCATGCATGGCCTAGTGAAACTACCCAGCCCTATCAAATCCGCGCGCAAGAAGGAATTCGACATGGACCTGTCGAGCAGTAAGCCGCAGTCCATGGACAAACCGTTCCCGGTCGATTTCTCAACGGCTAACGAGTCGCCGGCATCTCCGCTGAAGTCCTGTTCATCGGATGCGAATTCAAGACTGTCTACTTCGTCCGCCGAATTGGAATTGGTACCTGAGCCGCCTCCACGAGGGGTTGGTAACATCGTGATTAATCCACCGCCCCTGCCGCCCAAGAAGCAAGGAGTCAGAGCGGCGATGAAGCCGCCTCCGAGGCCCCCGCACACCGAGTACTTCCATTACGACTTCCCTGAACGCGAACCTGTTGCCACCAAGGACAGAAGCAAGAGTCCCGTCGGTGAGGTGAAGGGTCAGTTCGACGACAATTTCAGTCCTCCCGTTCAAACGTCTAACAGGTCTGATCTGATAGGATCGATGACCACAACGACGTTCGAGGATTCCTTCAGCTCCATGGTGCCTACTACGAACTTGTCTACGTTTTTTACTAGTACGAACACATCGACCGGCCCGAAGAAGACGAAGCCTTCGTTGGACATCACCCTCAGTCAGTTGACGTCCTCGAACTTGGACGAGTTAGCTCATAGTTTGGGGATGACAGTCAAAGAGTTAACCAGTTTGACTCTTCAGCAACTGACGGAGTGTCTGACGACTCTTTCAGCCAAGGAGGCGGCTTCCAGTGATACGGAGGAGCAGACTCCTGCTAAACAAGAGCAGGCATACAAGCCGCAACCGATGTCCAACGTGCAACCAAAACCGTACATCGACAATCAACCTTTCAGCACTATTAGTACCGAGCAGGAAACCAAGGAAGCAGCTACTTATGATAAGTATGCTGTTTTCCGGGAGTTGCTGGAATTGGAACAGTTAGAAAAGAATGAAGAAACTACAATGCAGGAGACAGCTGAAGAGGAGACGTCTTCGGTGTCCAAGGAGGACTTTGAAATGGTTCAGCAACAAGAATCTTGCGAGGACAGCAGAACGGAGTCACTGGCTTCTCTCGTGAATTTGACCGTGAAACTTCCGCCCAGTAACGAGGATCTGACGAAGGAGGAGCCATCTAGTGCAAAAACGGAAGAGGCGAGCGAATCTTCTACGGGATTAGCGTTCGAGAAGAGCCAGTCCGAGGAAACTGAGGGTAGAGTAGATTCGATGACCGAAATAGAAGCTGCGACGGATTTGTTGACGAAGCAGGCCACCACGGAGAACGAGGAAGATTTTGAGAGAGTCAGCTCCATGGAGATGGAAGAGAAAGCCGATGACAAGGAGTCTATTGGTAAACCGAGTTCCAACGAAGACTCCGATAAACCTGCCACGGAGACCAGCGCCGAGGAGACGAATGGCTCCGTGATCGTGGAGAAAACAGAGGTGAAGACGTCCGTGTCGACTTCCAGCGACAAGTATGCAGCTCTGCGCGAAATCATAGGCGAGCCAGAACCGGTTAAACAGACCGAGGACGATCTATCGAGTTCTCCACGTGCATCCCCCGTGATTCAGCCGTCCCAATCGAAGACTTCTGCCGAAGTAGAGCTATTGAACCTGTTCTCTGACACACCACCTTTATCCAGTCCAAAGAAGCAGGCTAAGGAGGAGGAGGATAAGCCGAAAATGCAGAAGCTTTTCGACGAGATCAAGATGAAGTACGATAAGCAACGAGCGTCTAAACTGTTGATCCCAGAAGACATCTTCTGCCCCTTCGCGGAGTTGAAACAAGAAAGGGACGACAGCAAGGATGACAACTGGGCCAAGTTTGACACAGGTTTATTCGTTTCAGACAGACCCTGCGAAGGTCCTCACTCGATAAGTGGAACTTCCCCGTGGTCCCCAGACGGCAAGGAGTTCCACAAAGAGCCATCGTTCAAAGGGAGTATGTATCGACAGTCCGGAGACAGCGACAACGAGTGGAAGGACGAAGAAGAGAGCGAGGAAAGCAACGGCAGGGTACGAGGGGACGAAAGATTTTGGTGCAGTCGTCTTCCCAGAATCGACCCTCCCCGCATGGACGCTCCTCGAATGAGTTCTGGGAACAAGAGGGACAGGAGTTTCCGGGATAGGATGGTGGAGAAGTCTATGGAGGCAGCGTGGATGAAGAATCCTTATCACAGAACCCGGGAGTTCTCTCCATGGCACGACGAGGGTCAATGGGAGAAGGAATCCAGACGCTATCCTCATCGGAAGATGCCGTACAAAGACGACGAGGACCAGTACGAGGCTCACTGGAAGTGCAGACCTAAACCTCAACGTTGGAATTGGCCGCACGAACACGGCCCGTTCTACGACGACGACAGGAAGCGGAAGATGATGCTGTGGAAGGACGACAGGTTCGGGAGCCAAGAGAGTATGGGCTACGACGAAGAGGACAGGTGGCCCAGGAGAATATACGAGAGAAGACGATGGGAGGACGAGATCAGATACCCGAGTAGGCGGATGCCGGCGGAACAACTAGAACCCGACGGCACCAGAGAGAGTTTATACTTTTTCAGACCAGATCTTTATCACTCGTCATCGAAAGTTTATACGTGGGATGAGGAGTACGAGAGACCCGAGGACTCCGTATGCGGTCTTATCACCAGGAAGAGGTACTGGCCCAAAAGGCCGAACAGCGCGAACGAGGGCCGCAATGCGGACATGGTTTACCCCGAATCCCGCGGCAAATTCGGTGCCTCCAGATCCGAGTGCAGCGACAACGACACAGACCCATATCCCCGGTCCTCCCAGCGCTCCAGGAGTCGCGAGAGCTACTGGGGCAGCGATCAGGAGTACGACAGCTGGGCGGAGAGACCCTACTGGTCCGAGGGGCCAGATACCAAGACAGAGAGCCTGCACCGGAAGAAGGTGCCCAGGCATAAACCACGGCAGCCGCACGCGAAGACCCAGAGTCCATTCGAGGACGATTTTGCTCAAAGTATAGAGCACGTTGATCCGTCTACAGTCGAGTCCTTAGCCACGGTGGAGCCACGCATCCGCTCCGACATGGAGCAACAACCACCTCCGAGTCCTTCCTCCAGCAAGAGGTACTCGAAGGAGCTGCCCAGGAAGGAAGTCCAAAGAGAGTACAGTAAGAGGTCCAGCTACTTCGAGGACGATCTGACGCCCTCGGCGAGCGGGATGAGCGACACGTCCGACCGCCAGAGGTTATCCTCCGAGCTGAAGGCCACCCCTGAAGAGCTACCCTGCGACAGCAAAGAGGGCCACCAGACGGCTGACGGCTTCGTGTCCGAGGACAGTGGACGCGACTCCTACTTTAACGGGGACCTCAGATACGACGACGACGACGCGTTCACGTTCAAATCGGAACTCGAGGACAACGTGTCGGATCACCGGTCCACCACGTTGCCGCTGAAGAACCACTCGCGGCAGGGGAAGTACAGCGCCGGGAACAACAACAGCAACAACAAGTCCAGGAGCGAGCAGTACATCAGGAAGTCCGAGTCCGTGAACATATTTGTCAGGGAGAGCGACCCGTTCGATGACGATGACTTCTTCAATTGATGGGTTCTCAAGGGTGCTCGAGTTGCGTACGGTGCTGGACATTGCGACGTGATTTTTCGAACGTCTGCCTCGGTTCTCGCGTTCCTCTTGTAACCTTGCCACGAACAGACTTCGGTGCTCTTCATCGACCGGGTGTCTATGTCAGGGGTCCTAAATCATTCCAGATCTTCGTGTTTTCCTCGGTTGTTCGGACACATCGTTTGAGTTTGATGGATGGAGGGAGCGTGTTTGCTTGCGATCATCTTCGATCATTCGTTGTTGGGCTGGGGAAATGTCGGTGCGATCATCTAGTCATTGTTTTAACAAATTTGTACATAATGTTATTAGCGCGATATCTAGTTGCCGACAGGGATCTGTATATGTGTGGTAAATTGTTTTAGCGTGGTTTACACGGCGCTTTTATTCCTGATCAACGAGCATAGTTATCGCGTTCTTGCTTTGTTCGTTTGATACTATGATGCTAGTCATGCTCGAGGAGCTTTAGGTATTTTGGAAAATGCGGTTGGATTGCATTTGGAGTTGTTGGCATTTAGATTGTTATTTTATTCTGTTGACCAGTATTTATGTTAATGATCTCATGTTCTGTAATCAAATGCAAGTGGATTGCTTTGAGGTTAGTTTTTATAAAATGGCGGCTAACTAGTTTAATCATCTCTAGTCTGTACAAGTTGTATTTATTTCTAATGAATTAATTGTGAACAATTATAAAATAATTTATATTTTTTATAAGCAATCCAGTGGAAGTTATACAATTCATTGTATATTTTTAATTTATTTATATATTATCGCACTCTATGTTACGTATTTATTATTCGACATAATATTTAATTTGTAAAACTATATAAATTAACTAATAAGTCTGAGTATTTTAGTTGCACGTTTTAGAGGATAAAATTATCCTCCAATTTCGAACATCTCCAAATGCAAAAATCTGAACCATCAAAGTCTGAAGAGATCTTATTCGATAGCTATTGTTTGGAACTTGTCGAGGAATCAGAACTGGATGGCTTTTATTCGTTTCCAGTCGGTACGAGATGTATTCTTGTTGAATTATAAGGGTGATGGACGCTCCCTGCACATGTTCTATCTTTTTGTGTTCAATAATACCCTTACGACCCTCGTAACGAAAAAATGTTGTGTAAATTATTCTCCGATCAATTGCCCGATTAATACTTTTTGATAACTGCAATTTTTGTGATTTACAAATATTTTGAAATTACTGCAAATTGTTTCAAATTTCATTTTTTACTAATTTCAAAAATTTTAAGTTTTAAAAATTTTTTAATTACTTAAAATTTTTAAATTTGCCACTAAATTTAATTGGCCACTTTCATTTAAGTTAAATTATTTTATTTATTTGAGAGTTGTCACGCTATTATTGAAAACAAAAATCGATAGTTTTATTTTGTAAATCGGGGAAGCGATTCGATCAATGATTGCCGATCGAAGATGCAAACGATTAGACTGATAAAGGTATCCATCTTCGTCTGTTTAAACAATTTTATCAAATTTATTTATAATTATAGACGCGAAAAATATATTTCTAACTCAGCTAATATTGAATTACTTACAACTTCATCGAAGACAATTCTTTATCTGTCGAGAAAGGTACACTTTCTGCAACATCAATTTATATTATGGAACTGCAAGATCAATAAAGAAAAATTCTGAAGAGAATTTCAGGAACTGAAACCGATTTTTCATTGTATACTTGACGAGATCAATATTCTCACTGTGAGAAGGAAATATATGACTAAAATCATTGTAATTCTACAAAAATGCATAATTTATACGGGAACGTTTTTTATTGTTATAATTGAAAATGAGATAGGTGTGTAATTTTTAAGGGAGAAGTAATTTTAGATTGTTGCTTTATTTTTTTTAATTTTGTTTAGGGGAAATTGCAAGGCTTCAAAGTTTCAGTTTCAAAATTTCTGAAATTCCAAGATTCCAGAATTCCAGGATTCCAGGATTCCAGGATTCCAGGATTCCAGGATTCCAGGATTCCAGGATTCCAAGATTTCAGAATTCCAAGATTTCAGAATTTCAAGATTCCAATTCCGAGATTTCAGAATTCCAAGATTCCAAAATCCCAAGATTCCAGAATTCCGAGATTTCAGAATTCCAAGATTCCAAAATCCCAAGATTCCAGAATTCCGAGATTTCAGAATTCCAAGATTCCAAAATCCCAAGATTCCAGAATTCCGAGATTTCAGAATTCCAAGATTCCAAAATCCCAAGATTCCAGAATTCCGAGATTTCAGAATTCCAAGATTCCAAAATCCCAAGATTCCAGAATTCCGAGATTTCAGAATTCCAAGATTCCAAAATCCCAAGATTCCAGAATTCCGAGATTTCAGAATTCCAAGATTCCAAAATTCCAAGATTCCAGAATTCCAAGATTTCAGAATTCCAAGATTCCAAAATCCCACGATTCCAAAATTCCACGATTCCAAAATCCCACGATTCCAAATTCCCACAATTCCAAAACTCCACAATTCCTAATTCCCACAATTTCAAATTCCCACAATTCCAATATCCCACGATTCCAAAATTCCACGATTCCAAAATCCCACAATTCCAAAATTCCACGATTCCAAATTCTCACAATTCCAAAATCCCATAATTCCAAATTCCCGAAATTGCAAAATTCCTAAAATCCCAAAATTCAAAAATTCCTAGAATCCCTACAATCCCAAAATCCCTAAAATCCCAAAATTCAAAAATTCCTAGAATCCCTACAATCCCAAAATCCCAAAATTCCTAAAATTCCCTAATCCCAAAATTAAAAAATTCCTAAAATCCCAAAATCCCAAAATTCTTAAAATTCTCTAATCCCAAAATTCTTAAAATTCTCTAATCCAAAAATTCAAAAATTCCAAGATTTGAAAATTTGAAAATTCTAAAATCATTAAACTACGCACCCGCAGTTTATTATCTTTCAATATAATAATAAAAGACGTTCGAATAAATTGTACCAAAGCTTGATTTTTACCAAAAACAGAGCGAATTACCAGTGTTTTTATCTCGATGTTCACGCGATAGACAGCAATGCAAGGTCGCAGAAAACGACACAAGACACGGATATAGTCGGTATAAGATGCATAAAGATGTTTACAGTAATCAATTATTACTTAACACATTAATTGCCATTAGAGTAATCAATTAATTATTAGCTAAAAATAATTAAAAGAAAAAAAAAATGGAAAATTGCAGTAATAATTTGAGACCATTAAACAAAATGAAGGATTAAAATATTTAATATTTATTTATTTTGTAAGGAATCGTTTCTCCAGTGGCAATTAAAGTGTTAACAAGATGTCTGCAGAGCGTAATTAATTTCATGATTTTAGTACACTAATAATCGTGAGAATTGTCATTTTTAATACGACCACTGTGTGTCAGGATTCTGGCCATTTATTCCATGAATTATTGTCAACCTACCGGTGAAGATAAGCCGCAGTATACTAAATAACAAGAATGGTACTGTTCGAAGAAATTTTCACTTTAAAACATGTTGAAACAGAATAAACTTCTTTTGGAAGAATTCAGTGTTTGTCTTTTGTGTTATTACCGATTTGTTTTATTTCGATAACGGGAGTAGTATAGTTTATGATCTTTATAGGTTATGATCTTTTCTGTGCTTGTGGAGTCTCGATATTTTCCTGCGCTGGGGGCTCTTGCGGCGCGTCAGGAAGTTTTACACAATTTTACAGGATTTTACAGAATTTTTTTTAGTGTTGGGATAGTATAAAGGGTGTTTTCAAATAGTTTAAGTAAAAATAGAAAATAGTGGGGGATATGGTTGAATTTTGAAAGTTGAAAGCTACTTTTAAATGTGAAGATTTGGGAATTGTTGAATTTTCGAACTCGTCAATTTTTGGGGCTTCGAAGTTTAAAAATCTATGACTATGTTTATGAATTTTAAACTTACTGTTTCCAAATTTTTAGGTTTTCAATTTTTCAAATTTTTCAATTTGAAATTCTTAAATTTTCAAATCTCCAAACTCTCAAGTCTCAAAATTCCGAAATCTCCAAACTTTCAAATTTCAAAATTCCCAAATCCCCAAATCTCCAAACTCTCAAGTTTCAAAATTCCCAAATCCCCAAATCTTCAAACTCTCAAGTTTCAAAATTCCCAAATCCCCAAACTTCCAAACTCTGAAGTTTCAAAATTCTCAAATTCCCAAATCTCCAAACTCTCAAGTTTCAAAATTCCCAAATCCCCAAACTTCCAAACTTTGAAGTTTCAAAATTCTCAAATCCCCAAATCTCCAAACTCTCAAGTTTCAAAATTCCCAAATCCCCAAATCTTCAAACTCTCAAGTTTCAAAATTCCCAAATCCCCAAATCTTCAAACTCTCAAGTTTCAAAATTCCCAAATCCCCAAATCTTCAAACTCTCAAGTTTCAAAATTCCCAAATCCCCAAATCTTCAAACTCTCAAGTTTCAAAATTCCCAAATCCCCAAATCTTCAAACTCTCAAGTTTCAAAATTCCCAAATCCCCAAATCTTCAAACTCTCAAGTTTCAAAATTCCCAAATCCCCAAATCTCTAAACTTTCAAGTTGCAAAATTCCCAAATCCCCAAATCTCCAAACTCTCAAGTTTCAAAATTCCCAAATCCCCAAATCTCCAAACTTAGATCCTCCAGTCCCCAAAACCCTAAATTTTCAAATTCCCAAACTTCGAAATCCTCGAACCCCAAATCTCTAATTCCAAGTCCTCCACTTCTCAAGTCCCAAAATCTCAAAATTCGTAACCACCTACCCTCTAATTTCCCAAATGTCCAAATCTTCAAATCTCAAGTTTCAACTCAAATTTCTGAATCCTAATTCTCTAAAATCCCCAATTCTCACAATTCCCCAATTTCCAAATTCTCCAAAGTTCCAAATCCCTAAATTACCAAAATTCTCAAGTTACTCTCCAAACCTAAATATCCAAATACCAAAAATCCTAAAAACCGTAAACCCGCGCTGGAGGCCTAAATCCACCCCTCAATCTTTCCTCAAAGCACCCAAAAAAAAATCAGGTCACGTAAAATGTATCCTCGACAAATGTTGCCTCGCATCTATTTAGAATCGGCAATAAATTGAGTGTTCATAAAAGGTTGCAGTAAGAACTGACAAAGCACGTCGCGGGTCTCGGCCCCCGCCG